GCCATACTAACACCCCCCCCAAACGTCCAATCAAATCCATGAACTCTATAAACGACGCCCAGTCCAAGACGATTCTCAAAATGGGAATTTTCGAGAAGCTGCCCGAGCCGGAGATGGAGAATTTTGTGAGGAGCAGACAGAGTTGGTTGCATCCTGTGGATGGGACGGTGCAGTGGAAGGGGAAGGTTGGGGGGAGAAGGTTTAGTGGAGATGGTGAAGGGGAGGGGAGGGGAGGGGATGTGGTTGATGTATTTGAGAACGAACCCGCAAAGTCGAAGCTATCGAGCACGGATTGGAGCAATGAGTTATTAACCGTCTTCGACGCATCAAGACTTCATTTTCCCTGCTCAAATTGCTCATAGCATAAGATAATCAAGCGCGTAACTGTACGCAGTACAAATGTTACAATCCTCTAATTTATGGGTCGAGAGAAGTTTCTAATAATCAATGTATAAACCACTAGAAGCATGTAGGACTTGATTTCTTAGGTCATGTTTATGATTTCCATAACTCCTTTCGTCGTGATGAGATTTGCTAAAATGTCATGTTAGTTATCGTTGCTGTAACAGGGATTTTGTGTTGGATATGGATAACCACTCACGGATTGTGACAAAAAGCATTTGATGTTGATGTTGCTAATTGCAGGGAGTGTCTATGAGTCTCTGTTAATGTTGTTGGTATTAGATTGAACTGAATGGAACAAGCTACAGTGGACGTGATTTGCAAGGTGGGCCAGGACACCAATCCTCTCAATCTTGACAGTAGAGAGGATTTCAACTAAGACGAACGTTTTGATGCTAATTTTGTTGTATCCGCAGCGCTAGAGGAGATGATTACATTTTTATTATTCATACACGCCATTCTCCATCAAAATGTCATACACTTATCTCAAACCAAGCAAGAATTTTCCGCCTCCTTCTTTCCCACCCTCTCCACCACCTGGAAGATATGTAACGTTTGGATTGCTTGCCAATGTCTGTGCAATCTCTCTGCTCGCCTCGATTCTTCTGATCATGATCAATCCATCACCAGCCTTTGCCACCGCCTTGCTGATGGTATCAGCGGACTCTGCTTCACCCTCTGCTCTGATGACGTTTGCTTGTCTCTCCTGTTCGGCCTTCTCGACGATGAATCTCGCTCTCTCTGCGTCTTGCTGTGCGATTTGCTTCTGCTCGACGGCTCTTGTGAATTCCTTTCCGAAAGTCATGTGTGTAATTGATACATCCTCGAGGGCGATGTTGAACTCCTGAGCACGCTTGAGGAGATCGGTTCGAATTCTGTTGCTGACGGCTTCACGCTGAGTGATGAGTTCTGCTGCATCGAATTGGGCGACAATGGATTTTAATACTTCGTTTCCGATGGAGGGGAGAACACGCTCATCGTAATCTTGTCCGAGATTCTGTTCTACATTAGCATGGTACATTTTAAGATGTCTTCAGTGATAATATACCTGATAGATTTTTGGCAAAGCCTGAACCTCTGGACGATGTAGCACTCTCAAAGTCAAGCTAACCATCTGCAAGTCCTTACTTCCAGTAGTCGTCGAGATGTTTCTTGGCTTCGTTCGCACATCATATATAATGCTCTTTTGTAACCATGGAACCAAGAAATGAGTGCCCTCATTCATAACCTCGTCCTTTACTCCAGCTAATCGATCGAAGATGACTGCTCTGGTTCCGCCTTTAACGTCGTAAATAGAGGCTTGAGCAAGACTTCCGGCGACGGTCAACGGAATCGCCCACTTGTATACGTTCTGCAGAATGGCGGCCATTTTGTTTTCGAGTGTTGGTGGTATGAGTTGGAGGTGGGCGGCGCAGGTAAGATTCGATGCGGTGCACTGAGTGTTGATGGCGTTGATCATGAAGCTCTAGGAAACATTTCGGACGATTCGGCGCTAGTGCGACCGGGGTCTGTGGCTGGCAAGAACCGACCTCGAAAGCTCGATTCATCACAACTCCAAACACAATTGATCTTCCAGTATACTCGCGCAGATCCTTTCACGATGAGACCTTCTTTCCCTATGCGATCCGGTGGTGGTGGTGAGATTGGCAAGTACGGAAAGTAAGTACTAACTGCGGAATGGGCAGTGGAAAGATTTGCATGATGGGTTTCCGGCAACCTACTTGCGCTTTCTTCCCTCAACAAGACTAGCATATATGATTGAGAATAGAAGGCTGACTGATTGACTCTAGATACCTTGGAGAATGGGGTAACTTGGGTGAGTGGAAATCCTGAACGACCCCTTCCGCGCGATGAGACGACAAGACGCTTTCGAACGCCACCGATAAATATCTCGAGCGCCATCTAGCAATATTGAACTCGTGTTGGGCTTCTTGTGAAATTGGACTATTGGGGAAGAGCATCAATGTTGGACCATGGGGCTGATGATGGAACAGGCTCGCAAACCCAGAAAGGCATCGCATCATTCGCCTTGAGCTCTAACAGACAACGTCCTCTCGCCGGCACACTCCACGCTGCTATCTTTAATGTATTCCGAAGATTCTCGCACCAAGTTCTCTACATCGCACCTCCTATGATTATCGGTTACTTCACAATGCAATGGGCGATTGAACGGTTAGTTTTTGGCAGAGCCCAAATACCGGGACATATACGGCTTGGAATCTTGCTAACGATTACCCAATAGAAATGAATACTTGAACTCTAAAGCTGGAATCAAGGAATTCGGTACTGATGAATAGACTTCAAATCTATAACCCCGGAACTCTACTAAGCAGTGCTGTGTTGCGCTTTAGCCGAGGAGTCTTAAGTTTGATTTGGAGGAGATGTATTGGAGCTGAGATGGAAGAAGGAGTGTATAGTAGTAGACTGCATTGAAATTGATGGATTTGGATCACGTTTAGGACCTCTCATTACTATCATGTGCTGTGAACTAACTCCCTGTTTCTTACCATGACATTGTTCCTCGAAGCGCAACACCTCGGAAGTCTTGACACGCTTCTTAGTCGCCCAGAACTACGCAGGTAATATAAATTGTCTCAAGAGTAAGACGCTTTTCTGGTGGTTTGGATGAAGCCTCAATTGCTCTATCAGCTGAGTTGATCCACAAGTATGAGTTTGTGTCAAAGAGAGTCGAGAATACAAACTCTACCAAGAAATTCATTCCACCACGCCAACTCCATGGACAGCTCAATTCTTACCATTAAATTGTCCAACTTACTGTCTGACCTTCAAAAATCCTGCGTTTCCAATTTCTGCTCGACGTTCAGCGTGCACCTGGTGGAGTCAAGAGCTCCCCCACCCAATCAAGCCTAGCGCCAAAATAAATATTTCGGTGCGCAAAAAAGTTCGCGACACCCGCAAGCTCCCCCAGCCCTCACCACCCCAATTCCCACCACCCTATCGCACGCACTCGCAAACATGGGCAAAGACAAATCCAGCAGCAAGGACGCCTCGAAAAAGGAAAAGCGCAGCGAGAAAGACGGCGTGAAGAAGTCGAAGAAGGACAAGAAGAGCAAGCTCACGGAGGAGAACATCGCGGCGGCGGTCGAGCAGGTGGTTAAAGCCGCGGACGACGACGAGGATGTAGAGATGGATGTTAAGGTCGAGGTGCTGGTCAAGCCGGTTGGGGCGCTCGTGCCGTTTGCGGCGCCGTTGGCGGATGAGAAGGTTGCGAAGAAGGTTTTGAAGGGGGTTAAGAAAGGTTCGTTCACCTATCCTCTGCGTCCAAATTGGGGTTTCAAATGCTAATGATTTATGTCGTAGCTGCGAAAAACAAAACGCTCAAACGCGGCGTCAAAGAAGTCGTTAAAGCCCTCCGCAAATCCCCGCAAGGCGCAGGTCAATCTAGTATCCCAGGCATCGTCATCCTCGCAGCGGATATCTCGCCCATGGATGTGATCTCGCATATCCCAGTGCTGTGTGAAGATCATAATGTGCCGTATATCTTCGTGACGTCGCGTGCGGAGCTCGGGGCGGCGGGGAATACGAAGAGGCCGACGAGTGTGGTTATGGTTACGGAGAAGAGTGGGAAGAAGGAGAAGGTTGAGGGGGCGGAGGAGTTTGGGGAGGTGTATAGGGATTTGTTGAAGGTGGTGGAGAAGGAGGCGAGGAATGTGAGGGTGTAAATCGTTGGGGGGAGAATGTGAGGGTGTAGATCTGGAACGGGATGTGGATGGATTTTTTCTCGAGACATTTGGGAGGGGGTGTATCATACTACACGGCAAGTGTACTGATCTCGTTTATGTTGCACTCATATGGCGTTTAGGGCTGGCTGGGAATGGAAAATCGAAAATTTCAAATACATTACCGATATCGACGTAAAAGTCACAGATCTCGCTATTGAAAACACAGATAAGGTTGGTAATGCAACGTGGGTATTTCATTCCAGGAACGCTAATGGGGAATATGCTGTAAAACGAGAGATCATGGACAAGTGTCCGACCAGAAACTCCAGGCGCTATGCTCCATCAAATGCTCCAAGTTCCAAACGCCATGCTCTTTCAAGCCCTTCCTTTTTAGTTCCAATCTTTTTACACATCCAAAGTTCCAAACGCCATATCCAATGCTCGCTCCATCAAATGCTCATTTCCCAAACTCCATAACTTTTACCCTCCATATCCACACAACCCCCCTTCACCAACCCATCAATACCTCTCCCTCTCACCCCTCCTCCCCCTCCTCTCCTCCTCCCTCTCCACCTCCCTCCTCAAACTCTCCGTCATCTTCGTACTCGGCGTAAACCCCACACTCTTCTTCCGCCTCAACTCGCCCGCCCACTTCGGCTTCAGAATCCCCTTCTCCGGCACCCTCGAATGTCTCGCCGGCTCATGCGGTCCCATCTTCGACTGTCTCCATTCCTCGAGCTTCCTCTCATCATCTTGAAGTTGTTTCCACATCGGCGCGTCCTCCTCCCCAGCCTTCTTTTTCGGCGTAGCAGGGAAATAGGAACCAATAGGCGGCCTTTCAATCGGATGTGATTCCAGCGGATGTGAATGCCCGCCGAACTCGCTGATGGGGGAGGTAGGTCGGTCTTGCGGGCCGGGACTGACTTGTTTGCGCGAGAAGTTTATGGGTGCGCCGGGCGTGGGGGGGAGGACGCGGTAGCGGATTGGAGATGGGCTGCGTGTTTGACGGGATTGTTGGCGCGCTTCGGGGATGTAGGGTGTGCCTGGGGGGGAGTAGCGGAGGGGTTGGCCGTGGATGCCGTGGGGTCTTGGGGAGGAGGTTTTGGATTTGGGGCGGAGACCGAGTCCTATAGGGCGGTCTGAGGGGCGGGTGTCGCGGTCTGAGGTGCGGATATCGCGCTCGTCGTGGTAGGTTGTGCTTTGTCTTTTGTGTTCGGTTCTTTCTTTGGCTGGGGCGGTTGGTGGTGAGGCTTTGGAGTTGGAGCGGCTTGGTGAGGAGCCGTGGCGGGATTCTCTTGGTTCGACTCGGTATTCGACGACGGGTACTTGGAATGCTGCTTTGATCTTGTCACCGAGGGTTTCTGGTTTTGACTGTTTTGCTTGTCCAGCAGATCGTGGTGCTATTAAGCATTAGTAAACGAACACAAACATCTAAGAAGTATATCTTACCTCTTGCAAGAACAAGCTCATTATCCTTCCCACGTCTAACCTGATATCTAGGAGCGTCATGCTGACTCGACTCCTTCTCAGGGCTCCTCGAAGACCTTCGTTGCTTAGTCCGAGCCTTTGCCTCCGGCTCTTCTACAATCGACTTCCTCCTAGCCTCATCCCGTGCAGCTTGAGCCGTGATCCTCGCAGCTCCTTCCTGTCTATCCTTTGGTGACCTAGGACCTCTGGTTTGGAACACAGCAACCTCGTTCATCTCGCGTAGAATTCTGGCGTTGTTCTCGAGAGCTCTCTCACGAGCATCTCTAGCAAGCTTTTTGTTGATAGACGCTGCTCTTTCTCTGGATTCCCTTGCTGCTTTCTTCTTTTCATCCTTGGTAGACGTCTCCTTATCATCCCCGCTGTCCTTCTTGTCTGAGTTCGCCTTTCCGGCGTCTTTGGCAAACTGCTTCGGTTCTTGTTTGGGTGATTGATCCAGAGCGCCGAAGACTCCACCATAAGCACCCTTCTCGAGTGTCTTAAGCACCTGCTTCGCCAGCTCTTTATCTTGCTTCTCCTCCTCAATCCGATTCTCAATGTTCCTACATCCCCTCGTCATAGTCCTCAACGAAGCATGAATCTCGCCCCTGACTTTCTCATCAGGATACAAGCTTCCCGCCCTCGTCTCGATCTTCTTCATCGACGAATCCGCAAGTCTGAGCAGCGCTTCAGATTGTCCACCTCTCGTCTCCTCATCAACTCGCCAGATCGCATTCCATAACTGCGATCGTAGGTGAGCACGAGTAAGATACATCTTCTCCCCCTGTTCGATGCTGGTGTTGATGGGTTGCGAGTAAGAAACCTTCCTGTCTTTTCTCTCCTCGCCCTCAAGAAGCGGTCCTCCGAGTTCGGTGAACAAACTGTCTTCCTCCAGCATACCGTAATAGTAGTAAAGCCAATCAATATTGGACTTCACATCAGCGAGTTGCTTCTTCGAAATAGCCTCGATCGTCTCCCTGATAATACAACTCGTAATCATAGTCGCGAGTTCTTTCCAAAGATTCGGGCCTCCGAAACTAGTGAAAAGCCATCGAAGCGCAGACACGTCACCTTCTCTACCCTTGAAATCCTCAAGTCTCATTTCCGGACTCTTGGCTTTCTCAAGATTCGAGAAGATCTCGTTGATAGCAGGAAGAAGCTTGCTGCTGACTTGGCCATCATACACCGCATCGCTATAATTCGCAATGAAAGTCTTGTAATTGATCTTCGGAAGTAGCCAGTTCACAACAGCAAGGTTCGATTTCGCCTTCAGATTGCTGACATCCTTAAACGTCTTTTTCGGCGCTGGAGGTGCTGTATCATATCAGCTCTCACTCCTCCCTCAAACATCAACGAAAAAAAACATACCCATAACTTTCAAATCAACCTTCTCATAAACCACCGTCTCCCTCTGAACCTTCCTCCCCTCTTTATACGGCTCCGTCTCCGTCCTCCTGAATGTCCTATCCCATTCATCTTCCCTCCCCAACCGCTCCTCCACCACCGACGAACTCATAGATCTAGGTTTACCCATTGTGCTCTGAATAAAAAAGACTTTCTTTGTCAGGGGAATCCTACCAAATCACAAAAGAATGGTAGGACCTCTCCCTTTAAGTTATTCAAGCATCGTCAAATACGTCCGCAAGCGAGGGAACACTGTCCTTCGAGGCGGAGAAAGGGAAGCACGTGAATGTGTTCCTGTTGCATACTTTATTTCTCCCATCTCGACCAGAACCCTCGTAGGCGAGGATTTCCGCGGTTGTTGTTCCTCTCGCTAAAATACATTTGGGGCTTTGGGCGCACGTGAATGATGTTCCTAATCCCCAGGAACTTAATCGAGGTTTGGTTCGATGGAAAAGAGTTCTGGATTTGTGAAATCCTCGCCAACGGTTTGGGGCGCTTCGGGAGTTGGAAGTGCCGCTTCCTGTTGTTGTTTCCGGATTAGGTCAAGCTGATCCTGGATGTTGGGATGTGGCTTTTGCGATAACCCAACTTTGGATTGTACGAGCGTTAAATGTCTATGCGAAGCTTTTCGTTGCATTATTTTGTTGTTGTGTTACTTTGGGAAAGAAAGGACGTTTTGCGGTCGAAGGGTTCGTTGTCGTCTATGTTGTCGCATCTCATTGGTCAGTGACTATTTCCGGATCGACGCAGGGGAGGATGATCTGGGGTATATCCTCACTCAACCCTTCCTTCTATACAAGTTTCTTCAAATCAACATGGATACACTCCGATCAATATTCTTCTGTTCTTTCTCCATTACTTGCTGTATTCATAATCGCATAATTTTTAACCAACACATCCGTCTCATCATCACCACACCACTTCACCACCTATCCCCAAACTCACAGTCTCACACCCTCAGCGCAACCATCACTCTCTCCTCCAAACTCATACCACACACCATAAATATTCCAAAATCTCTTTCTCATCTCCAACAGCCTCAAAAATCCTCGCATCGTGCAAGTGACCACTCCCGCTCCCATCCCTCCTCGCTTACGAAACTCCCCCTTCTCGCTTCGCTTCCCCATCCCAAAGAATTCACGTGAAAACCCCACCAGCCACGAAATACGCCGAATCCGCTCCTATGGGTACTAGAATTAGATCTTTGTGCACGTAAATCTGTACAGTACGATTAAGTCTACGGAAATGGTTATATTTCGATAGAAATATACTTGTCAAGAAATGTGTTAGGTGAATAACTCCAAACAGTGCTATTCGCTAGAGAAGAGGAAAGAAGAATAACTTATAGGTGAGTAAAGGGTTGTAATGACTGAGAAACCTGACCATGAAGAGAAACGAGATGTTCGAATTCGAGATAATTTATGACATTCTCCGCTCATAAATGATTATCAAAACGAGGATACAAACTCCACTATAGTAACGCAGAACTTTCAATATCCTTAGTCACAACCAGTCCTAGAATTATTGCGCTCCCAGTACTGCTGTCAAATCATGCAGGACTCAGTGACATCCTGCAAACTACGATCCCCTTCTCTTTTTTGCACAACGTTTAAAACTTCATAATTATCTCCACAACACAATTTTGACATAACAACCCCATGATTCACCATGATTAATTGTTAACAAACTTATTTGATATAGTTCTCAAACCAAAATTAGCGTGCACGAGATGTGTCGAGTTGTACTAGTAAGATTGTGGGTGGAAAAAGGGGAGAGCATGCGCCGCTCGCTTACGTGTGGAAAAGCGAGACGTTCAGTTAAAATAGGTAGAGATTACTTACCTACTCAATAGCCTAAGTTTGGAATCCCGTAAGAAGTAATTGGGTTATATTCTCGCTTGTCTATATGGGTTGAATTGAGAAACGTTGAAAGTCTACCTTGGCGAGATAAGTTTCCACGCGATGAAACTAGTGAGTACGCAGACTAAGTATTCCTATTAAGAGGTGTTATCTACTCATTGCACCTGCAATATATCATCAAATATACACTCCAATCCCCATATTTTGCCCTAATATAAAGTCACGCTCCTAACTCTTCACCCATAACCCTTTCCACCACCACAACCTACAACCCCTTTTCCACACCCTCCAAATCCTCAACCATCCCCCTCCAATTCTCCCACTCCTTATCACCCCCCGGAATCCCGCCCATTAACGGCACCCTCGTCCCATCTCTATCCCCCATCCCTAGCACCCTACTAACACACTCTTTAATCCCCACCGTCCCATACTTAACCACAATCTCCTCCACACAAGACACTTTATACTGCAGTAATCTCCTCTCTTTCTTCTCCTCTTCGCTCACGCTATCCTTCTTACCCAGCTCATACAAGCGCACCACACTCTTCGGGAAGAAGCCCGCTGCACCGTCAATCGCGCCGGCGCAGCCGACTGAGAGGACAGGGAGGAGTTGCTGTCCGAGCCCGGTGAAGGTGTGGAAGTGTTCGTGGTCTATGTATGGGGAACTGGCTATTTGGGCGTGTACTGAGACGTCGCCGTGCGATAGTTTGCAGCCTACGATGTTGGGGTGTTGGGAGAGGGTTGCGATGGTTTGGGGTGTGACTTTCACATTATTCGAAACACCTGGGTAATGATATCTTAAAACGTTCGTTAGCATAATCCTCACAACCATATCCGCATAAACAGACTAAGAAGGGGAAGACAAACATCATAACCGGAATCGGACTCGCATCCGCCACGCCGCGAAACCACGCAATAATCCCCTCCTGCGTACTCGCGCCCGCAAAATAGCCCGGCACAAGCACCAACCCCCATCTCACGCCCACCCGTTCCGCATCTCGCAACTGCTCCAGCACTTCATTTATATTCTGGCTCGCTGTCCCCGCGATTAGGGGGTAATTGGGGAATCCATTCTCGTCGAATGTCTTGCGGAGGTTGCTGAGGACTTCGCTGCGTTCGGAGGTCGAGAGGTGGACTGCTTCGCCGGTGGATCCTAGTACCACGAGACCGGTAACGCCGGAGCGGGCAAGGTGTAGGGAGTGCTTGCTTTGGGTGGAGGGGTCGAGGGGCGTGGAGAGGGAGGAGTAGGAGGGGGATGATCGGGAGAGGAAGAAGGTTGGGATGGGGACGTAGATTCCGGGGGGTGGAGGGTTAGCTAGCATGGTGATTGATTGGTATTGAAAATAGATGTTAGATGCAAATAGATGCTAGAAGATATATTGTAGATATATGGCAGTGGATTGTTGGTTATATGAAAGGAAAGGAAGACGAGTGAATTGAGTTGTAGAAGAAATATGGTGGCTTTGCTCCCTTACATATGGAATCCACTAGTCACCTCTGACTAGTCTAAACTCACGCAGCCGCCACTTATGGCAATTGTGCTTGTGAGACACGAGCAAAGTAGTGGATTTGCTAGTAATTTAGAAAGGGGTCTGGTTGCGTATGGTTGGGACGCCTCGGGTTGGACTGGTTTGTTTGGTATATCCTCGGGTGAAAGCGCAGCGAGTGGATGGCAATTATGAGGAGGGGTAGCGAGAGGTGGGGGTTGTGGGGGTGGGTTGTACGAGAGCAACGGGTTCCTAGATAGGTAATTGAGAAGTTTTACGATGTACATACTTGCTAATATCTTTTGATTATAAAGATTTGAAATTGTTGATGGAAAGTAAAACGTTAAGAACGAGACTGCTTTTCTTCGGCTCTCAACCGAGCCCCTTTTTGACGTATAAAGTAGATGCAAAAGGTACATCGTCAAAATCTCCGATTTGCCGAAGGATGTATAGATTAACGATGTTACACAATCTATAAATGCCAAGTTTAACAATAAAAGTTTTGGAGAACAGTTTTCACGGTGGTGTTCCTGTTATTCTAGCCATAGCTGTGTGATTAAGGCATACAGCAAGTATCCTTAGATCAAGACCAACTGGCTATAAACGTTTGAGCAGCCCAGTAGCAGAGGTATATTTGATTTTCGACGCCAGCTTAAAGTCGATATGCCCCAAAACATAGGTAGTATATTCTACGAAGTCGATTCCAGCTTATGAACTTTTCGCTGTACTCCTTACACACGCAACCAAAATCCAATTATCATACTCATGAATTCGTCCCACTCATAATATCATCAGCAACCACAACCACCATCAAACCAAATCCTTGATCCCATAAGCTTTGATAGCAGTGCCACTCCAGATCCAGATCTGCTCCTCATCCCCTAGACTAGTCAACCAACAAAACTTCTGTACAACCTGCTTCCATTTGACCCAGGCCCCTTCTTCACTCTCAACACCAACCGTACAAACTGGCCAGTCACTCCCGAACATAACTCGACTAGGTCCGAATACCCCTAGTATGACCGCAAGATAAGGTTGAAGTGCGATGCAGATATCGATTACAGATGCGTTTTTGAGGGCGGGAGGCATTTCTGAGAAACAACCAGAGAGTTTCATGTATGTATGTGGAAACTTGGCGAGTTGGGTTATGGCATTACGCCAGGTGAGGAAAGATGGGTCGGTTGGGTTGTAGATTTCGAGGTTGGGTTTGCATAGATGATCTACATCATGTTAGCCAATCCCATAGAGATGAAAAATACGACAAGAGAGAAAGAACATACTGATCACAATCCTAACCCTATTCTCGTCCTCTACCCCCTCATACGCCCTCCCAATCATCTCCACCGCCTCCTCAAGCTGCCACTTCCCACCCGAATGCTGATCAACACCCAAATCAAAAACCAAACCCTCCTTTCCCATCCACTTCAAACCTTCAATAAACCCATCACTCAACATCGTCCCTTTCGGTTTGTCCTGCACAAGATATCTATACCCTCTCACCCTATCCCAAGTCTTCTCACCCACCCTCTTCTTCAACAACTCCGTATACTCCCTCATCCCGTCCTCTCCCGCCGGCAACGGCGCCCATGGCACAATCCCCAAACATTTCTTGCCATCGCCCTTTCCATGTCCCTCGCCCTCGCGAGGTTCGTCCTCAATTATACGACGTAGGAATTCGATTTCGCGGATCGGGTATTCCCAGCCCTCCGCACCTTTCGAGAGGTCATTGATCCGGTCTGTTTCGAGGAAGATGAAGCCTTCGAAGTTTGAGGGCGTATCAGTCGCAGTTTTGTATTCGTCAATGGAGTGCTGGGTGTGAAGTGGGGAGGTGGTGTCGGTGTTCCAGGCCAGCTGGGAGATTTCTGAGGAGGGGTAGAGGTGGATGTGGGAGTCGATTATTGGGTAGGGTTTTGGGTCTGTCATTGTGACGATGATAGAATTGGAGGCTTTGGTGCAGAGTTGTGCGTATGGAGCTGCTTGTCTGCTTGTCGTCCTGGTGGTGGTTTTGTTTCACAAGGTGTGTAGCTGAAGTAGTTGTTGTGATTTGGTAAAGCTTGCTGGAGTACATTTTAGTCAGTAACCTTGAGCACTTAGAGGCTTCCAATTAGTATTCACCTTTTCAATCCACAAATTGCAAACTCTTCGTGGTGCTTGGTATTTCGAAGTCAACGTTCTGCTTGACCGCACCTTCTTCGTATTTACTTTCCGTCGCACGGACCTCGTTCAACCCCTCCCCCTCCTCGAATGAAACAAGGGGTTATCGTGCGATAAGCATCAAGAGAACAACTTCATACCACACATCAAGCAAGACATCTAGCATGTCATGTTGTGAGTTACACCATATTAAGAGCCAGACCTAAAATTACTACTTCAAATACTCGTCTAGCTCCAGCCTTAGCGCTCTAGCCGTTTTTCGGTTTCCAGTGGTTTGCGGGCTGTGTTGTCTTTGGACACTTCAAACGACTCTTCCTTTTCAACAGCTGCCGGCTAGATATAGCCGCTGCATCTTGGGATTTTCAAATCGCTTTGGTCACTGGCTCGCTCTCAAGTAGGTGGTTTATGAATTCTGATATTACATAGTAGCTCCCTGGAGCTCTCTTACCACTCGTGGCAAGCAAAGAATTCATGTGAAATCGACAGTATGGCGTGCCTCGAGTCCCTCGAAATTGGGGCTAGTAAAAGCGAAGTATTACACTTTGACATTAAATAACACCTGCTAACAATTGGTAGAAACGTATTGGGTTCGTCGGTTTAACATGATACTCGCTCTACAGACCTATAAATATCAAGTTCTACTCCACGTGGCTCAAGCTTCAGGGCAAACGCCACCGAGGCACTGCTCTGGTGTAACACAACAGAGCCTTCCCAGCGATCGCGTATCATACAAAAAATCGTCACTCTTTAGGAAGTCCCCCACAGACTTGATGAATGATCAGTTAAATCAATAATCATCTACAAAAACCCATCCACAAGATTCAAGTCGTCGAATCTTCAATGCGCCTCATCAAGTGTGCGACTTTTGAACTTGAGGAGTTTCTCGGTAGCAACATACCCAAGTACGCCATATTGTCTCATACATGGGGCAATGAAGAGGTTTCGTTTGCGGAATTCAAGTCCGACTTGAATTCGGTCAGATCCAAAGAAGGTTTTTCCAAAATAAATTCATCTTGCGCTCAAGCTCTTCGGGATGGACTACACTATATATGGGTCGACACTTGCTGCATTGATAAGAGTTCTAGTTCAGAACTGTCTGAAGCTATCAACTCGATGTTCCAATGGTACAAGCGCTCCACCATATGCTATGCCTATCTCTCTGATGTAACGTTGGAGACGTTTCTTGTAAGCTTTCCACAGAGTCGTTGGTACTGTCGAGGCTGGACTCTCCAAGAGCTATTAGCACCCAAAAAGCTTGTTTTCTACGACCGGGACTGGCATGGATTAGGCACTAAACAAGATCACGCCGACTGGATATCTAGATTTACCCGAATAGACGTCGGCGCTTTACTTGATGAGACCTGGTACGACCGCGCAGCTGATTTAATTACACCAGCGGGTCTTGGGGTCTTTTGTGTTGCTAAACGAATGTCATGGGCCTCCGATCGGGAAACAACTAGAGTGGAAGATGCAGCATACTGCCTATTAGGAATTTTCGACGTCAACATGCCACTGCTTTACGGGGAAGGAGACCGAGCTTTCATTCGTCTTCAGGAAGAGATCATAAAGAGTTGTGACGACGACTCCATATTGGCATGGGGCCTGGATACGGAGGCGGATGACGACTTTGACGTGCCTGAAAAAATAATGGATGCTGTTTACGGTGGAGCTACCCCGGAGGAAACACTAGCCCCATCACCCGAATATTTCAGGGATTGCCATGAGCTTAAGTATGCTGCAGCGTCGCCCTCTCCATTCGTAATGACAAATCTTGGCCTTCAGATTGAGCTCCCTCTGGTGCCCATTCGTGCAATGCATTCAATTCCTCTGGCTCATGAAGCAGGAGATATTCTGGGTTGGATTGGGCTGCTCACCTGCGGAGGGCCCTCAGACGAGTATCTTTTGGGGATCGTGCTTTGGCCAGAAGCACATGGAATGACTATCCCAGGCAAAGTTTTGCGCGTTCTGTTCGGATTGTCAAAGCAAACGGTGCTAGTTGGCGCAAGAGTGGCTGCTGAGGCCGTTTTGTCTAAAATTACTATTCTTCGAAACAATGACAGCCAATCAGCTCGAAAGTATTCTTATGGAACTCGTCAAATCATGATTAACGAGGGTGAAACCATATCGTGGCTTGGACTTGATGAAAATAACAAACCAGCGGCATTATACGCATTTGCGACAGATGTGCTAGACGAACATCCGGGTCACTTCTACAAATGGAATCCCGTAACTGCAGTTCTCACTGTCAAAAATCAGTTCAGTGGATGTGATCTGATTACCATCAACTTCGACGTCCGGAATGGCTACGTTAATCCCTTCTCGGTATTAATTCGTGGTCCCAGGGCGATGGTACGGAAAGGACTCACATTCTCACCTTTAGAACAGACTGAAATCTACGAGTTATTGAGTCACGAAAACAAGCAGAAAGATATAGACGACTTTGTTCTAGTAGGCAGGAATGGGATCTTATACAGAGTTACGGTTGAAATGACGGAAAAGACTGTTTGCAGCTGGAAGATCATCGAGGTAAATATCGATGCTGTCAGGTTGATGAAAGGTAAGAATATTAATGGCGTCAGGGTTGATGATGGTAAGAATGTTGATGCCGTCAGTATTGATACAAGTCAAGATGGTTCTGTCGAAAGTTGCGCAGAGCTATCTGATCGAAATAGCGGTCTTTGATTTCCGACGTTTTGTTTTTGGTATTTACTACATACTAGATCCGTCGAAATACAACAATCTACTCCATCATAGTACCCTCCTCACATCATGCTTAAACGATCAGTAAGCTCTAAAACCCATATATATCACTCAGCTCCCGCAATCGACTTGCTCATACTTGGACTAACGCTCACCTGCAAAAACCATATACTAACATTCCTAAAATTGGCTTCATACATAAACCACAACTCACTTCTAAACCCCATGAATCCTCCTTACCCCCTCGCGAATGATTTACACTTGCTTCTAAACCTTCCTCACTTCACCGCTCGTTACCACGTAACCATCTCTTTCTACAACTTACAACATCTCCTATAGCCTAGCAGAAACCCAACTAATTGACCCCTGACAGGCTGATACTATAAACGAAGAAATTAGCGCCGGAGCTAATATACAACGACGATACCGTATCAAGCTGCTCACGAAAAGCGTAACGACCGTTTTTGTTTTTACAGTGAAAAGCGTTTGGCTGCTGTGTTCTGGAGAGGAAGAGATGGGGTGTTGTAGAGACTAATTTAATTATAATTTATTGAAAGGGAGATTGGTTTTGGAGGAGGGTTGGAGGGCAGGACCTTAGGTGTTTGTATTTCCTAATCCTTATTTTCTGAATTTTGATTTCTTAGATTTTATATCACTTTATTGCTTAATTGAAACCGGATATAGGAAACGTATGTAAGTAGATGTCACTTATATATATATCTCTTAATCTTAATCTTTTTCGCTTAATACAGGATTTTGAGAATGAAATATCCTTATTTTCCCCTCTTTACTTTTCACCCTTCCTTCCCATCACTACACCTACTCTATACTAATTTCGTCGCCCGAGGAGTGGGGATTTGGAGAAGATAGAAAACAGTCACATCTGCATATCTACAAAGTATGTCTAAAAAAAGATACGAGTTCCAATTATCCAACCCTCAATCTACCTACTCCTTTCCTACCTACCTAAACACTAAGCGAACACCATAGTCCCGCCCCGTCATCTACAATCGTGAGAATAAGAATACCTATCCATCCCATTTCCACTTTAAAACACTACAACAACCCCATCCCCAACCCCCCAGAGACCTTCTCAACCACATCCCAACTCTCCAAAGCTATACCTGACCCCTTCCACCCCCGTCAACCCTCACACACAACGAAAATGTCAACACCCAAATCCCATACACGCCTCCGATGCGTCTAGCAAACGACCAACACATCGCGCAAACCCCTAGCATAAAACCCACGGCGAAAAAACCCACTACTTCGCCATCTATCAATCTACCTATCCTACCAACCCTCCTTAACAAATAACCGACCAACCCCCCGATAAGACTACAATTTCGAAATAGATAAAAAACCTATGTCAAGCTCGTTATCTACATATAGTAGTCAAGAATTAAGAAGAAAACATCTCGTTTTATCAAAAAAAAAAAAAAGATAAAGAAAATCGCGCTAACCGACGTGTGTACTTTGGATTCGATGATGATAAAGGAGAAGAGGTAGGGTTCTTTATAGAGGTAGTATACATTAATATAGAGAGAAAAAGAGGGTGCATGGAATATCAGCTGACTGACGATTAAGAAACATCGGAAACGCGAGTGAGATGTAGCGGAGCCCGAGAAAATGATGAAAGACAAGATATTAGTGTAGAGTGATGTATCTTTTGAATTCGCGCTGTTCCTAGTTATATATATATATCTATCCAGGTAAGTCGCGCTATGTGCAATACGCCCTTAATCCATCCATCTATCCCATCTATCCCACCCATCCCTCTAAAGAAAAAACTCCCATCCATTTTTATCTCTCCATCTCTCCTCTACCCATCTCGCATAGCGAAAATCCGGGGGTATAATATATGTCAAGTGCCATTTCCCAACGCCTAGAAAGCAGAACCAAAAAACACCCACCAACCTAGCTCACGTGTAAGATTTGTCCTACGAATCAAAAGGTTTAACCCTCTCATCCGGCGTCCCAACCTCAGGCGTATTCCCCTCACTCCTTTCCATGATCGGCGTCTTGGTCCCGACACCGCCCTCGCCGTTAAGGCTGAAATTCCTGAGCGCAATGCTATTGAACGGCATCGCTCCGGCGCCTCCACGCATCTTCTTCGCAAACTCGCGCTTCATCCCGTGTTTGACGGCATCAAGCACCGTGTCGACGGTCACACGGGGCTTGTAGGCGGGTGTGGTACCTTCCTGGAAGACACCCGTGCGGACGAGGATGCTGTACCAGTCGTTCTTAGAGCGTTCGTTGAACTGGTTCGTGCCGCGGATGTCGGACTCGGGGGTGTCGCCGACGAAATAGACGGTCTCAGGAGGCGCGTTGCAGCGATGTTCGTCTTTACGCCACTGTTGGAGAAGACGGGTAGCGAATTCAAAGGTACCGATTTGTGGTTTGCCAAAGGCGATGGTCTCGAGTTCTTTGCCCTTGGTGAGGTCGCGGAAGAGCATTTCGATCATTTTGCGGAGGGCACCCATGCCGAGACGGACGTTGTCGTGGGCGGCGGACCAGACGATGTCGTTGTGGGAGAAGTAGATAGGAGGTCCTTCGTCGAAGGTCTCAGAAAGAGTGCCGATGAAGCCGCCTTTGGACATGGCGAGGTCGAGGATGATTTGGATGTCACCGGCCCATTCGCGGGAATCAGCAAAGACGAAGATGGCTTCGATCTTGACCTCGGCGAAGTTGCGGCGTCGGGAGTGCTTGATCTCGTCGGGTGTGAGTTTACGGAATGGCGTGGTGTCGGCGTTGTCTTTGATGATATCACCTGGGGTTATGACGTCTCTAAAGCCGTAACCTTCTGCGACTTGACGGCATTTTTCACCCTCTCCACCGACGACAAGGACAGTGTTGTACTTTTCCACCATCTCTCTCATTGGGGTGTGACCGCAGATGAATTGGGCAGGGGACACTTCAATGTCGAGCTGGCGAGAGAGATCAATACAGCGCTCTGCTTCTGTCTTGCCTCCACCGTTGGTGAGGAAGATATATGGTCTAGATATGTTAGAAAAGATCCTATAGAGAACTGAAATAAACCTACACTTTCATGCCATACTCGTTCTCTCCGTTCAGCATCTTCATTGCCTCGATCGCCTCTGGAATTGGCTTTCCACCACGAATAAGAACCCCATCGATATCAAAAGCAAAAGCAAAAGAGTCGGCGGTAGGAATATCCGATGGAGTGATTGGGGAACCAGGTGTACCTGGCGTACTCGACTCGGTCGACGACAGAGCCTCCTCCTCCAAATTCATAGCATTCAGCTCACTTCGAGCATTTTCCATGGAAGCAGCAAAGCCTCCATGGTGTGATTGCGAACGTTGAAGCATCAAACGTTCTGGGACGACGACGACCGGGCCGCCTTCGCGGACATCTCTTTCTGTGGCAGTCATACTGGATAATCGTCTGAACTGTGGTCTTGGTCTCGGAAGAGAAAGAAGATTGGAATTTGAGGACGCCATGATGACTTTATATGATTGCGACGCCGTTTGGTACTAAGTCAATCGGCTCGGGTTCGAGGAGACGGGGTCTGGAGACCTGGAGGCTGGAGAGGATTGGGGGTGGATGCGGTGGGTCAAGGGACCGAATTCGTTTGAAACGGGCTCCAAATGGGTGTGGATCCCCTAATTCTGTACAGAGATGTTGTTTGGAGAAGGATACGGATGGATGGTGTTGGCGATGGAACGTCAGGTGGAGAGTTGCGGTTAGATTGCCGACGTAAATGATGGCTGCGGATTTGGGAGCAGAACTTTGCCTATTCTTCTTTACCAAAGTTTGAGAGGACAATTTTATGAGCAATACAGTGATGGCTTCCCAAACAGCAGGAGGTTGAGGTTTTGTATGAAATCAAAAGTCTATTGTTGAACCATTACATCAGCGAGGCCAACCTCCAGCTCTCGAGGCGTCGACCCGTTGACCCCTTTCCTGCCTACTCGTACCCAACGAGACGGGTATGGGGGGTTCGATCGAGGTCGGGAATCGGACTTGTATGGCAGACTCAGAGCTAGCAGCGTAAGATCGACTCTTGACTTGCTATGTTCGTCATTTTCTGTTGATAAAAGTACGCTTCCACCCCACCAAAGGCCACTATCTTTGGAAAATTTCAAAGGGTCCTCCTCCACGACGTCAAGGTACATCCAAATTCCAAGGCGAAGCGGCATTATTGCGGGACCGCATATCAGCACACGGGGATATGGGGCAGGATGTATGGAGAGTTGAATTGTTGTTATCTCTAGCTACCAGAGGCTGTTGGGTGGTGATAAGTCGATGTTGTTGCGCAGAGTACAGTACATACGAACCCTTCATGCAGCCGCTGTGATTTGGTGTCGCCTCGGGAGATGACGAAGGAGTGCAGAGGCGACCGAAAGCGAGCCGCAGATTTGGCAGGCACTTTTTCACGCCTGCAAAGCGGCACTCTCGAGCCCAGCGATGAGGCTCTGAAACAGGTACCGACGCCACGCCGCTTTGTGGCTTATCGCTCACGCAAAATCCCAGCACTCGTACGTACAAAGTACATGCTTCACTACGACCAGAATACACAGGATGAAAGTACCGTAAACCTACTGTACTTTCGAACCGGTCCAACCGTCCAGCCGATCCTACCATCCTGCGCAGGCACCACGGCACAATCTCACCCACCCCGAGTCCTTCTCGTGATCTTCCTGCGGTACGAGAATGGCAGTCAAGGCATTCCTGAACGATTGGACGTCTGGTCAACGGAAGGCAAACGTACGCAGTCAGAGTCATGTTGATTTTGCTTGACGCGGTAGATTGACCGACGCCGAGCGAAATTACTGCGAAGCATTATCGTTTCGAGCGTCCCCACTTGAGGAGAATAGTCCAATCGATAAGCAGAAAATATTGAGTAGCACCACCCCCATTTCAAGTTGCCCCTCCATCCATCCCACCATTGTATTTCAAAGACCCCTCTACCCCACCATACGCGACAACGACACCCTTCCAAGTAAGCACATGCAAAATTAAAGCACAAGAAAAGCCCTCATAGTGATGAAATCTGAGCTGATGGGAATGTACGAAATACCAAGCCTCGAGCAAGCTTTAGGGCTATCCGCATCTCTTGACCGCAATTCCAAATACGAACGGTCCGTAAAATCATAGGAATCGACTTACCTGCCGCCTTAAACCGACAATTTTTACTACATGGGTGATTTGGACTTTTCTCTCACCGACTCCTGCCAAGACCCGATGAATAGAGTTCAAAAAGACCGCTCATCAGTCCGTCGCTTTTCAGCGCGTGAGAAATCTGTTCGTTTCTCGGATGGAAATCTGAGATCTCGATGTCCTTTGTGCTGCTAACTTTTAGCTATAACGCCGACATATGATGGCGTTATCTAGGTATTCATCGGCTGAAAGTGCTGTCATGACTTCGCTGTAGTTATTCTGACTGCAAAGTTCTGATGCTCTGTTGTACCATTTGTGGTATATAATTAGATGCATGAAATACGCTGCTGTGCGCCCGTTCCTGCAACCTGTAACAATCGAGTCCGGGTACTGACCGCTTACTTGTCGGCGACATTGCCTGTGAGCGAGATAGCGATTTATGCAGTCACTTGCAGTCCCTAACAATCACTGGCAGTGGGAATGTAGAAGTTTATATATGAGGAAGTGATCATCCAAAAATCGAACCATTTGATAACCAAACTTTCGATTTCGTGAAATGATAATGATACTTGAGTCTCTTGTGTATCGGTTATGCAAAGATGTTGAGAAATCTAGTAAAAACGTCATTTGGGATACATACGAAGCCGCGTCCGGGGCTCTAGTAATGTTCTTACTTTGACACTCGGATTGTGGGCGAGTCAACACGACTTGCGTAGTTTCGCATCGTCCGACGTTAACAATATTGTGTTTCGACCCTTTGACGACTCTCCATTATTTATGGAATTAGCCCACACTTGTGTATAGCGGTGGAGAGATCGTCATGGATAACTGTGGAATCTGGGGAATCTGGAGATGAACTATCTCCAGGAAAGGTTCTCCGATGTGGGATGAATGGTGGGAACATACCGATTTAATTCCCTCGGAAGGTTGAAAATATGATATGCCGACGAATCTGACAAGAGGCTAGAGATCAAGCTGAACTCGTTCAAGGACGATTAGGATGATCCTTATTGCTGATGCTGCGCTGCTGTGTCGTTGATTGACAAAAGTAAGAAGTGAAGGGAACGGTACCTCGGCCCGCTCAGATTGGGTAAAAGGCTGACGAGGTGTAACATGAAATGTACCTTGGGAGAGTGAAGTAACGCCGTTAATTTTGCGCGCAGAACCAATTTGCGTAGAGAAATGAGTTGGAGATTATTGAGTATCGGAGCGATGCGCAGACTCAATGTATGAGTTCATGTAAATGAGTGCTCTACGGTCTGTAGTCACGGGAATCGTCGTGACCTGCTTCATACGTAGACATCTCCAGCCTTCCAGCTATTAGGTTATTTCCAGGGATATTGATGGCCTCGCGAATCCATATGATTCGAAAAACAATCAAAAATCAAAGAGTATGGCTGTTGAGCAGGAAGCGCAAACATCCGACCTTTCTCCCTAAACGATGAAATGTCGCTTTTGAATTCTGGGGGTTAGGAACAGACGGCTTCAGAAAAAGATCTCGAGTCAGTGACATGGAGAAAATACATGTGACTGACATCGCCTCGCACCCGAGTTTAAATCACGAGACTGTCGACTCGACCTGCCCGTCTACATCTCCAACATTGTAGATGCAGTCCGACCTACCAGAATCTATTCAAAGTTCTTCCATTGGAACTCTGCAACCAAGAGCCAAAGTTCATCACACCCTCCTACCCGCCCAAGCTAATCAATATGGCTTGTATGCACAACGTCACATTTTGTATTGCTTGTGCGTGCATGCTTCATGCTCCACACCGCACCACTTGTGAGAACATCTGACAAGTAACAAAGTACTTCACCTGAAGTCGTGAATAGAGACAACCTCTTAGAATAGAGAACCTACGCCACAAGAATTTTCGTCAGCAAAGCCGCAAGTCATCACTGGGATCATGATTTGAGACCCCACTGAAAGACACCAACAACCATCCGCGTGCCGGCGAGACCCAGACTGAGACCTTTCGGTCATGTAGCCTCGAGGCAAAGTATCAAGTCCCGACTGGATTGCGTGGATGTTTGCATGCGGGGAACTCCCAGCTTCCCCCTCGAGAAGTCCGTTTGTGGCTGTCGGTGTAGTTGGAGACTCGGTGTATTGTATTATTCGTAGAGATGGGGATAGAGACATTTGACGTTGTTGAGAGCATCCCCCAATCTCAATGTCAATGCATTGCGGCGCGCATCAGTTGGATGATAGAGTGTTGCTCACCTCATTCCAATTTCGCTATGCTGGGCCATCGATTCGTCCTTCCTTTTTCTTAGAGCTCTCTGTTGGTCTCCTTTTCGTCCCCGGCATCTTTGGCCTTTGAAGGTGTATTGCGTATTAGCCAACGCCCTTCTGGTGCTGTGATGTGAGCCATCACGGAGGCCAAACTGACATCGATATCCATGCCAGTATGATTCCTCGCCATGTTGGCGCTTCCAATTGTCAACCGATGGTGATGGGTCCCTTGAATGCCGTTCGGTCAGACCCGTCGTGACCGTTTGCCTCTGGTCTTGAAGATAAACTTCGTGTGCTAGGCGTATTCTTCTGCACCATTCCGGGCGCTCGTTGCCTTGCCCTGGGAGTTCTGCCTTGCGCAAATAATGTATTTCCTTGTTTGTGTATCGATAATCCGATATCACATCTCTTCTTCTGTTCCCAGCCGTCCGCGATGGACATGAGTGGTGTTGTGAGGTGTTGTGATTGGGTTGTCGTCGATGCAGCCTTCGATGCGGGGAGGAAATCCCTAGGGTTCGTAGGGATGATTGCGAAGCGAGAATCTGTCGACCAGCAGCACGCGAGACTCTGAATGGTTGCATTGGGCCAGCATCTTAACGCTGTGCTCCTAAAGCACTCTAGCTCCCGGTAACTCAATGTACATACGCGCCCAAGCTATAGAATGAGTTGCATCCTCCAATAACACCATCCAGCGCCCCTCGACGTGCATTCGCGATGGTCGTGCAGATGCTCACAAGGCCTCAACTGGTCAATGGAAGAATATTGCTTCTTCACACCACTTCAGGCCATTCACCTGGCTCAATTGCCTGAGCTTAACGAGCAGCCACCGGCCAGCCACAGCTGACAAGAGAATCGGCAAGCCATGGATGCGACTCTCCTATGGAGGGGAACCTCTCAGAGCTGGCCCCCATAAAGACCGGCTGTATCCCCATCTCGAAATGTCTTCTTTTCCTCTCCAAGCAAGCATTCAATCTTCAAGAGTTCGTCCGTTGTTCTTCGTCCTTTTTTGTTACTCTCTCCCGAGCAGGTCTCATTAATCCAACTTTCTTCATTCAATTTCTTCAAACCTCAGTTGCCGGTCAACTTAATTTTTTGCGCCCTCCAAACAACAACTCGCTCTTCTTGCTCAATCAAACTGCTCCATTTTCAACTACCCGACCCGTCTATAATTCAGAAAACAAAAATCAGCAATAATGGCCGCCGTTCAATTGTCATTTGGTCTCCGTACCTCCTCCAGTGTTAAGACCGTCCACCTTCTCGGTTCATGGGACAACTACACTGGTCAACTTCCTCTTGCTAAGGACAAGACCTCCTCCAAGTCTGGCGCATGGAAGGGAACATTCAGATTCCAGGGTGCCACCCTCCAATCTGGTCAACGATACTGGTATTACTACATCATTGATGGTTACCACGTTTCCCACGATCCCGCTACTTCTTCCACCACCGAGCCAACCACCGGCCGCGTGTTGAACATCCTCGATGTCCCAAGCGAGAAGTCCTCCAGCCGCTCATCCAAGAGCTCCAGCTCTTCCAAGCACTCTTCCTCCAGCAAATCTTCCTCTTCATCCAAGCACTCTTCATCTTCCTCCAAGCACTCTTCATCTTCCTCCAAGCACTCTTCTTCCTCCCGCCGCGAGCACCGCCGCGACAGCTTGGCCTTGGACATCCCAAAAGGACGTCCCCTTTCTGTCTCCCAAATCAAGTCGCCAAAGCCAATCTCCCCACATGCCACCAAGAACATTCTCCAATCCGACTTTGCCGCCCCAACAGTCGAGGAGTTGACTTCCCGCTTCAGCGCATCCACCATTGACGAGTATGATGACTACGAGTACTCTTCCAGCCCACCATCATCCGCTGGCTCCAGCCTCTCCAGCCGCTCCGGTTCAAGCTCCCCAACCAGCTCCCTCAGCGACTACTCCGCTTCCTCCTTGAGCTGCTCTTGCGAGCGATATGGCATCACCCGCTCCGGTGACCGTGTCAAGCTTGACTGTGGTGGATCCCGATGTGGTTATGATGATGAGTCCGACTCTTGCTGCTCTTCCGATGAGGAGGAGAAGTACGTCTCTGCCAGCTCCCGCCGCAACGGTGTTGTCATCAGAAGATAGATGCAGATTCTCTCCGCTTGTGAAGATGTATCCTTAAAGATGAAGGAAAGAAAAGAACACGAAGGAAGTTCCCCCTACGGAACATAATAAAACGGCCGTTCATTCATTCCGGCAATCACCCCCCTGTTTTTACAGACGGCAAGCCAGAGCTGGTCTCTGGTTCGCTATACGAAGCTCAACCCTGAGCGAATTTTCTCGTATATGTCATGACAATTTACCACCACGATTTCCTGTACGCATGGAAAACGACCTGGATGGACGAGGGGAGGGGGTGCATATCGAAGAAGATGATATGAAGGGAAAAGTAGGACACTTGCACGGGGGCACTTTGGTCTTGCTTAAATGATGGTCCTGACTACTAGGTCGGGCGAGCCATCTGGAAAGAGCTATGAAGTGTAGAAGGACAATGGTACTGCATTCAAAATAGCATAGCTGGATAGAGGACGATTGAATCTACTCCATGAAAAAAGACACACCAATTTGAACTGACTGTGACTCTCTAATTGTGACTGTGAAATAAGAATGAGCTCTTGAGTAGATAAATCAATGCCTAGGTAGCCAAGAGACGCAAGATATCATCTTGTCTAGTAGTACCGGACTTGACCCCATCTCCCTTCTAACACGACGTGACGTCCACACCAAATGATATCTCAACCGAGCCGCAACTTTTGCCTTGGAAATGGGCCGGCAGTCCTTGCACTCTCCCGCAAATAAACACACTTGTTGGGCGATGTGTCAGTGCACCAGATTGCCATCTGGTTCTAGACCATCTCAAAATCCTGTACAACGTTCGCCGACACATTTCGCCGCGTCGGAGCGGGAGATCATCCAAAATATCTGCCAGAACGGGGTGGCAATGGCAGGATGTACCAATCAAGATACCAACTGCCACACCACTAATAAACTGTTGATTTTTTGAAAATGTTGAAAGAGATATGAAAAAGAAAGGCAAAAAAGGCGAATAGAAAACATATCTGAGTCGGAGCGCAACTCCATATCCTCTCTCCGGCTTTGCTCCCAGACACGGATCAAGCGCACGTTCTCAGTGACATCACCAGCCGGGCAAGATGCAGAAGAGTGAAAGCCCATCTCAACAGGATTTCGCGCTCTTTTTGCTGACCGCTCCCAAACCCAAATACCCACGCGTTTTATATAACCCAAGATAAGAAGCCGCAGTACTTGACAAGGGCAACCAGATAGCGGGTTCTTTTGACCTTGGAACGCGACACTAAATGTGCTTTAAAACCCGCTTGCTCGCATCGTGAAGTTTTGTGCCATCGGCGATGAGAAAAAGTTGCTGCGACCACTACTTGATTGACCTGACTCCCACCTTTTACGGCGAAAAGTCTAAATGAAGAGTATTGCGTAAAAAGAAGGCGTCTATCTTTGATATTCCTTCCAGTTTGCAAGCGCCATACACAGCTGCCCTAGTTGGAGGATTGTTTGGTCCGCAGCAAGCACGCAAGGCGTTCGGACATAGCTTGGTCCAGAATAATTTATCTGGCGAAACCTCCCCCCGTCGAAATTCCTCCCCACTAAGCTTCTCTCTTACGAACCCAACAACACCGATTCCCTTTCCACCCAACATTCCGCGGGATTTTCGTGGTTTTTGTACCAATTTAGACGCCCACGATGGTTAAGATTGAGGACCATGAGTATTTGTGTACGGAGGAGAAGCGGTTGCGTCAGGATTCCCAGAGGGAGAAGTACTGGAAGAAATGGGGTCCTTACGTAGCGGAGCGTCAATGGGCTACTGGTGCGTGTTCTTTGCTTACAATGGCCTTTCAAAGACGCCAAAACACTGGGAAATCAGTTCTAATTTGAAATAGTGCGAGAGGATTACAGCGCCGATGGTGATGCTTGGAGTCGTAAGTTGTGTTCTCTCCCTCAAAAACACTAGGAGACGCTAACGGCGGGTTTCGCATAGATTTCCCTCACGAACACGCGCGCTCGAGGGCTTTCAGATGGGGTGAGGATGGTATTGCGGGGGTTTCGGATACACATGGGCTGCAGAATATTGCTTTTGCGTTCTGGAATGAGGAAGAGTGAGTTGTCCTGTGCACGTTTGGGGTATGGGGGTGGGGAGAGTTTGACTGATCAATCGGATAGTGATTTTCTCAAGGAACGACTCTTTGGTCTTTCGAACCCACAGGGAAACCATGGAGAGAGTATCAAGGAGGCCCATTTCCATTTGGACAATGTTCCTACGGTATGTTCAAGCTTAGTTCGGGAATTGAGGTTATGCTGATCAATTGGATAGCATTCGTACATGAAAATGCTCTACAAGTACCCACAGAAGAAATTCCCTTACGAGGACCTTATTGCAGAAAATGCCAGGCGTGGAAAACAGGATCGTGAGTACCAGATTACCGACACAACTGCTTTCGACGAGGATAGATACTGGGATATTGTCATCGAGACCGCGAAAGAGGCAGATGACCCTGATGAGCTCCTCTTCCGAGTTACAGCTTGGAATCGAGGTCCAGAGCCAGCACCATTACATATCATTCCACACGTTTGGTTCAGAAACACATGGTCATGGGGATATGAAGCTGAGGATCAGAAACCCAACATCCGCGAGGTGGACAAGCTGGCTGCCATCAGCAAACATCCCAAGTTAGGCGAGAGATACTTTCAATTATCCCCATCACCTGGCGTCGGGCCAAGCGGTACGGATGTTCAGCCAGAACTCCTTTTCACGGAAAACGACACCAACTTCGAGGTTCTCTACGATGGAAAGAATGACCAGCCATACGTCAAGGACGCTTTCCACAGACATATTGTGGATCGTGAGAAGAAAGCAGTCAACCCAAAAAAGACAGGAACTAAGTCTGCAGCTTGGTATACGTTCAATGAGGGTGGTGGTGTCGCTCCAGGAGAATGTGCCGTCGTTCGATTCAGAATATCAAAGAAATACGAGGAATATATGGATGAAGAGATTTTTGACGATGTCATGGACAAGCGAAAGGAGGAGGCAGACGAGTTCTACTACCGAATTAGCCCTCTGCCAATGGCTGAGGATCTACGAAATATCCAAAGACAAGCTTTTGCGGGCATGATGTGGACCAAGCAATATTACCATTTTATCTGGACTCAGTGGGCGAATGGCGATCCAGCACAACCACCTCCCCCACCGGATCGAAAAGCTATACGAAACAACCAATGGAAGCATATGCACTTGGATGATATTTTATCTATGCCAGATTCGTGGGAATATCCTTTCTTCGCAGCATGGGATTCTGCTTTCCACTGCATACCACTTGCAATGATTGATCCAGATTTCGCAAAGAAGCAGCTTGATCTTTTCACGAGAGAATGGTATATGCATCCAAATGGTCAGCTTCCAGCATACGAGTGGAACTTTGGAGACGTCAATCCACCCGTGCACGCATGGGCTACTTTCAGAACTTTTAAAATTGAGCGAAAAATGTACGGTCGACAGGATTTAGATTTCTTGGAGCGGGTGTTTCAAAAGTTGCTTCTGAACTTCACCTGGTGGGTTAATCGCAAGGATTACGATGGCAAGAACGTTTTCGAGGGTGGTTTCTTGGGACTGGATAATATTGGTCTTTTCAACCGATCGGAACCATTACCTACAGGCGGTGTTTTGGAACAAGCCGACAGTACGGGATGGATGGCGTTTTACTGCTTATGCATGTTGAATATTGCATTGGAATTGGCCAAGCATCGCCGGATTTACGAGGATATTGCTTCGAAATTTTTCGAGCACTTCATTCTTATCTCTGATGCCATGACTTTCAAGGCTGGAAACAAGGAGGAGAAGTCGTTGTGGAATGATGAAGATGGTTTCTATTACGACGCCATCTCTTACGGTGGACCATGGACTCAGCAGCTCCCGATCCGATCCCTGGTTGGGTTGATTCCTCTCTACGCCACTCTGACTCTGGAGCCAGAGCTCGTTAACAAGCTTCCCAACTTCAAGAAGCGAGTTGAATGGTTTATCGAGAACCGAACAGACGTCGCAGAGCGAAACATGGCGAGCATTCAGAAGAGAGGAAAGGACAATCGGATTTTGTTGTCGCTTGTAAGCAAAGATCGTTTGGAGAAGATTATGAAGCGAATGCTCGACGAAGATGAATTCTTGAGTGATCACGGTATTCGATCTATGTCAAAGTACCACAAAGATCATCCTTATTCTATGGATGTTAACGGCCAGGAATTCAAGGTCAGCTATGTTCCTGGAGATTCAGACAGTGGTCTTTTTGGAGGCAACAGTAACTGGAGAGGACCTATCTGGCTTGCAGTCAACTTCCTTCTCGTCGAGTCGCTTCAGCGGTTCTACATGTTCTACGGTCCTAATCTACAAGTCGAATGCCCTACTGGATCTGGAGATTTCATGCATCTAGGACATGTTTCAGAAGAAATCCAACATCGTCTTCAGCATCTTTTTGCTCGTGGAGACGATGGAAGACGTGCTATCAATGATGGCAATGACATGTTGGACTTTGATCCTAACTGGAAAGATCACATGTGGTTCCACGAGTTCTTTGATGGTGATACTGGCCGTGGACTTGGTGCAACCCATCAGTGCGGTTGGACCGGTCTCATTGCCAGGATGATCCACGATACTGGGTAAATCTCCCCCATTTCCTTATCAAACTAAACTAACATTAACTTCTAGATTATCCTGCCGTCTCCCACAAACACCCCGAACCCCATCTACCGGAATGAACCACTACTTCGACGACATCTTCACCCGCCACGTCAACGGCCAAACTAGCACCAGCACCAAACCAAAGATGCGTCGTTCCTCCACCGCTCGGTCTCTAGCCGCTCGCTCTGACTTTGACGGTGACGAAGGAGACGCGAGATCCATTGGTAACTCGGTCGCTACCGAGACAGAGGATCGGTTGAGAGAGAGACGCGAGGCGGATGCGCATACAGCTCATTATGTTAGTGAGCAGTTGACTAGAGTGAGGAGTCATGCGAGTGTAGAATTCGAGGGCGCAGACGAGTTTGAGGCGCAGTTGGATGGTGCGTAGGCTTGTGCTAGGTTAGGGGTGTTTGGACGGGAATTGGGGATTAGATAGATGTAAGGGGATAGAGGTAGAGGATGAAAAGAGTATGTAGACGGAGATTGGGGAGGGATGGTATGCGGGGAGTTTTGGGGATAGAGGAATTAGAAACTTTATTTTATTTGAGATTATAGGACTCTGAACTTGCTGATTCGATTTATCTGGGGTTTGTATTCGATTGCTCTCTGTGGATATGTGCCTGCCTTTATCGCGAATGAGGTCACATGTGACGGGTAAGTTATTTCTAAATTCTAATGTGGATTTCAATTCTGGATGTTGGATGTAGTTGTGTACCTAGACTCAGGAACATGTTTCGATTACGATATACTGATCAGTGATACATAAACAACGACCTCCCCCCAGAAGCCTGTCTTGTTCACGCCACGTTCCAAGGTTCCGGCGAAGCTGCTGAGAGAAGTAGGGTGCTATTTTAATCATTTATCTCCAATGTGGAACCTTTGCGAGGTACAGTACTGAACACCAGCTCCTTCTCCTCCAGTAGACGAGCATGGAAAACCAACTTGGCTCTGATTGTCAATTTTCATTTTTTGGGTGTTGAGGTTATAGGGTATGGCTTATACTTCGTCTGTTTCGTTTGATGGTATGGCATCTAGGTGGATAAGCTGGCGTTTGGGGTTGTTTGTAAGAGTTTTTGACGTTTTGGAGAGGTGAGAGGGTGGTCGGTGCGAAGATCGAGTTTTAATGGGATGGTTGTAAGGGGTGATGGGTTGGGTGGTCGGTGGTTGGTGGATGGGTTTGCACAGGAGGAGCTTTAACAGAGTTGGAGTAATGTGCTGTGCCAGAAGGTTCCTTAAGATGTGCGTTGTAGTAGACTTATCCTCCGACTCGTACTAATCTAGAAAGAAGGTAATAACATAATAGACAAACTAAATAGCCAGTCCTATCTAACAATTTACATACCTCGAAATAAATACAAAGATAGTAACACGTCCCTATACAATTCACACTCATTCCAACATAACCCACAATCTACTTACCTCTATATCCTTAAACCTTCTCTCAACACCTCCTCCCCCCCTAAAAAAGTAAAAGAGTCCAACAACTACCAGACCCAATACCAACTCTCCCTCCCGTATTTTATATCTATTTCCCAAAGCAAAATCCCAAAGGTATACTTTACATACCAGCCACTGCGATTCTACACCCCGATAGCCGTAACTTCCCAGTGCCATATTTACGAAACCCAACTAAACAACCCCCCAAAAAGTGACATTCCGAACGCGGGACCTTATTATACCCTACAAGCGCCACCACTCATGTTATTATAAGGTCATCAAGCCCGTAATCCCACCAGTACGACGAACCTACACGGAAGTCAGAGCGAATACTGAAGTCTTCCATATCAGATCTTCTAGATAGACGCTATTAATCCGGCGACCTGGTGGGGTTAATTTGCAAGGCAACAGAAGGACTTTTGATATCTTTGCGTCTTGATACTAGAGCACATCTGCCATTTACAAGGGATTAACTCTGCTGGAGGATGTAGAATTTGAGGTGTGCTTGGGGGTCATTGGTGGATGGATTCTTATCCTCTTAAGTCGGTAAAGGGGATTTCGGTTGGTACTACACCGTTCGTAGGACTGGGTGACAACAAAGCCAGACAGCCACCTGGATAGCACCATAATCCAAAGTCGAAACTCCGTGAGGCCGAAACGAAAAATAATCTTCTATTGATCACACCCACCCGCTCAATGTACAATTGGTCACCCCCTAACCCTCATTCCCTAAATCCCTACGTTCCCATCCACACCGTCCCACCCCTCTCTAAAAGAGATCCCCAACAAAAGAATTACAAAACAGGCATTTCGTAAGAGTAAATTACAAGGTATCAGTAAGGAGCTTGTTCATCTTTGCGATTTTGGCCGAGACGGAGAGATCGATTGTTCGGTCACCGATTTCGACGACGAGTCCACCGAGGATATCTGGGTTGACCTGTAGGGTGTTGTCAGAAATTGATGATGGTAGGTATTAGTTTAGGGATATTATTTAGACATACCTTGTTGGTAACCTTCAACTTCTTAGCACCTCCAACATATGAGGATTTTGACACTGCAGTCTCCAGACGTTGAAGAGTCTTGCCATCCAATTGCTACCCAAAATTAGCCCTCGCCCAAAAACCAACCCGCCAAAGGATGACCAACCGTAGCACTCGTAACAATCAACTCAACCTCACCCCTCGAAGCCCCCATCAAAAGACTGAATTTCTCACAAACACCCTTCAACAGACCAAGTCGGTTATTTTCCGCCAACGCCTCCAAGAAGTTCTTCACGGTATCGCCCTTGTCCACACCACCGGTATGTTTTTGTAGCTCGGCGATGATTGAGGATTTATCTTCCGCGGAAAGTGTTGGCGCGAGCATGATCGTGCCGAGTTTGGCATCTTTGTGGTAGACTTCGTTGAGCGCTTGCATGGCCTTTGCGGTGGAGTCTAGAGTTGAGGTTTTGACGGCTGCAGTGTACTGTTTTGATTCTCGTTAGCCTCCGCTCCATTCTTATGCCCCTTCTCCTGCCACATCGCGGTATCCTTCCAATTGCCCCTCAACCCCCAACCCTAATATATAGGCAGCGCAAGACCTACCAGAGCAGATGCATATGTTCCATCAAGACCGTACAGCGCAACAGGAGGCTTCGAGTCGGCAGCAGCCGGGGCAGCGTAGTTTCGAATCTGAGATGTAAAGGCAGCTCGAGGAGCGACAACGCGCGATGAGGCGGTGGCGGTAGCCCGCGAGGCGCTGAGAAGGGCGCGGTTCGAGAACATGATGAAGGGCGGGTTCAATTGAGGTCGTGGGCGGAGATGAGACAGCTGTAAAGTTCGTGATACATGGAAGATGTCGGATTTGAGGTTGCTGGGAAGAGCTCGGCAAAAGCTTTGTACATCACGTGATAATGCTCAACTACCATCAGGTGACCCTACTCTTTCGAAAGATTGATGTTACAGAATTGAAAATTTGTTAAAGGTTATGATTCGTTAGACTTGAATTGATAACGAGATGAGTTGAATCTCTGTAAAAAGGATAATGAGCGGACTTGGTGTCTTGACTTCTCCGCTTGGAGCATATCTTCGGACTCGTATATTCGCACCTATGTAGCTAGCTCACACATCTTTGCACACATGAAAACTAGAAAGCTAACAAATGGTTTTCATTTGCTACTTGTCGCTGTTGACGCGGTATTCTATAAAATGCTAAAGTTCAATTCCATTCGCCATGAATATCCCGCATACCATGGCACCGTTCCGTCCAAAGACTTTCCCTCGAGGACTCCAGTTACCTAGTACAAATCCCAAAACGCCATGCCATATGCTCGCCTCGGTTTCATTAACTCATAACATTTATAACTAGTCGGTTCTTAGCATATTGTCGACAAGATCACCTAATGGACCCCAGAAATCTTTTCCACTAGACAAATTGTGCTCGTGGATGAAAAGTACGTAATGCTTGAAACTGGTGTTTAGATGCGCTTCAAGACCAAGCTCTCGAACGACCGGGTAGTGATGGCAGTAGATGTGGGCGTATACACGATACATTCGCTTGAAGACTTGTCGAATCATGCTGGGGAATGATTTGGGAAATGGTACGCCTGTAAAGGATTGGTTAGACATGTATGGTATTTATTTTGTAAACGCACCTATTCTGCTAGGAAACACCGCTTCGTTGTCGATGTTACTCTGAACCCAGCCCATCAGATGTTCGATATACGTCGGTGCTGGCATCTTGGTGGGGCGTTTGAAGTTCTCCGAATCTTGCCATAGGTATTCAAATCTAGGGCGCTGTGAGTAGGCAGCCAAGATAAAATGGGCAAGTGTACTAACTCGTCTGTGGCCTTCATCTCGGGGCAGGATTGAGGAGAGCAGAATTCCGTGATCGAACCGTAGAGGAGATTGATATGGTTATAGAAGTCGACCACTATGCCTTTGTAAGCCCGTCTATCCCCAATTTACCTTGCTGCATTCCATACTGTTGACAGCTAGCCATTCGTTCTCATCCTCTCCCTCTGGTAACTTGACAATCTTCTTCAGACTGCCCCCACCTAGTGTAGCCTCTGCATACTGTCGAAGTTGGTAACTAGTCGTGCCTTTTGTCGTATTTCGTGGTCTGAATTGGTTGCGCGTGCGCTGGTTGCTATCATATCCTCGGCATGAGTGAGATGTACGAAATTGAGTCTCGTGAATGTCTGCAATAGTATCTTCATCTTCCTCTTGCTCATTTGTTTTGCAAATGGTCATGGAAGACGTAGATTCAGTCAAGGTACACACTGGTGATAAGACCTTGGCAGCCCGAGGGCTCAAGAATGAGAGCATACTGGATGACTACGACGGAACGAGAATTTACTGACACAGTTGTGATGAAGGAAGTCATCTTGCTTTGCTTCTATATCCACCGGCCCGTTGATTTCTCTACATTCCACAGGTTAGCATGGCAATAATCGTCGTACGGGTACAGAAACGGGTTCCTACCTTTGCAAGATCTGCCAAGAACAATCGCACGTTTTTGTGTCTGCGGATCGCAATTGGGAACTTCTGTTTGAAAATGGTGCGACGGAAAGTTACAGAGAGGGGTGCTTGAATGATCAGGACGGTACTGGTTTCCCAGTTTGTTTACTTTGGGCTACGTTCGGCTCGTTGGCGCGGGACCCTCCATATCCTGCTAATCGCACCCTTCAATTTAATCCTCATCATCCAACCGTCAAGGGGAAAGCTGGGGAATCAAGTAAAGCATTCGCTCCCCGTCAATTGACCTGCAAACATTCTTCGCCCATTCATTATGCAACCTATTGTTTCTTCTTTAGCTTCAATATTGCTGCGCCAATGACCCGCGAGTATAGGCGCGATAACTTACTCGCAGATGGGCGAGCTCTGGTCGCACATCTACGATGTCGACACCATTATCTAATATAAGGGTGTTTGTACAATGGACAGAACAGACCGTCTTTGCTGGCGAGGATGTCGAATGCGAAATAACGTTTAAGAACATCGCGACCGTTCCGACGCCATCACGATCCACACTACATCCTTCATCAGCCGCCGGAAATGGCTTTGCGCCTGGGGGAGAAAGACCAAGGAAAGCACCAAGTGTGCAGGCAAAGAATGGCTCTACAAGTCCACGACCCCGTCCATTGCGGCCCGAGAGGGGCCACAAAGCCAGTCTATCTCTCAATGTCCCTCCAAGCTCAGCTCGATCTCAGCGTACAACAGATTCGTGGAACGGAGCGCCGCTCAGTGGGGTTAAGAAAGGGAAAGGGGGGCACAGTCGCTCAGTATCTATTATATCCATAGGAGCTAGTGAAAGCAGTACCATCGCTGATGGGGGAAACGTCAATTCGAACGATCGACCGCGGAATAAAGGACATGGGCGATCGGCGAGTCTACAAATAGTGCCTCGAAGACATGGAGTAAATGGGGGACCCCCATCAGGCAAGTTTCTATGTACTAGGAATCTTGATCTCAAAATTGACATAGTAATAGCGCCACTCGGTCAACGTTCTTCGACACACCCATCGCCGCTTCTCGTATCTTCATTTTCGCCGGTCTTCAAAGATCATGCTCTTCCCGAACGAAAGTCGAGACGGGAGTCTGGTGCTCGAACTGCCCCTGCCACTCCGAGCCTAGCAACATCGCCCGCCGAAACAAGAACAGCTTCAGGATCTTTTCCACATGAATTCAAATTCCCTGCTACATCCCCCGCCGAAGGTCAAGACATCGTCAGACCAAGCAATTCCCGGGAAGACATCTATTCCCCGCGAACCCAAGCTCCAAAATCAAACTCGCCTCAGCCAGCAGCAGCAGCGCGTGTGATATCGCCCGCTAGTGTAATTGGAACACCACGAAGCAGTGGTGAGTTCTACTCGGTGAGTAATAATTCTACCGAGACTCTCGCTTCGGAATATGTTGGCCAGCAAGGAGGACGAATACCCCCATATGGCGGCCACGCAAGACGACCTTCGAGTTTGGCTCCGATAAATCATCACCGCCCGCCAGAAACGTTGATGATGGGCTACGCTCAAATAAGTGGCTCCTTTACGTTGGATGGTTCTTTGATTAGTCAAGCTCCGTTCGAGGAAGTAAAGAGGAAAGGGGCTGTGGGTGGTCAAGGAGGTGGGGTGATTGGGATTGAAACCAGCAAACGAGACAGCGGCCTCCTGAGAGGCTTCGGTTGGAGTAATATTGGAGAATCTATTGGGGGACTTCTCGGAGGTGGAGAACTCAGCAGTATCAAGGATATGCGAGGCGTTGCCAGTACTCGTTCGATACCGCTTCTATCAACCCCTCAGTCGATCTTGTTCGTGGACCTTCGCCTTGGTCCAGGAGAAAGTAAAAGCTACAAATATAGCTTCAAATTGCCACGAGGCTTACCTCCTAGCCATCGAGGAAAAGCAATTAAAATTTCATACAAGTTGGTCATTGGTACTCAGAGACCTGGTGGATCCAAGGAGCAGCAGGTGAGATCTGTCGAGGTACCGTTTCGCATTTTAGGCAGTGTAAACACCCACGGAGAGCTTCTTGGTCACGATTTGATGAATCCGTACATAATTCTACGCGATCAGGCTCGTGTCAAAGTTATTGACAGCCCATCAGATTCCAATCCGGACTTGACAAAGAAGCTAGAAATCAAGACTGCCACAATACCCAATGAGTCGTCACAGGGAGATTTCTTGTCGTACGTGGACGACTTGCTTATGCGGCAACGAGAGAACTCCAGCCAAGGGTTATTGTCACCAACCGAGCGCAGAGATCGACGGCAATCATCAATTGAAGAGCCATCAACGGCGAAAGAGGCGATTGATATGGCGATATTGCGTAGCAATATTACAAGTGGCTCCCAACAAAGTGCTAACCGATTTGAAATTGCTCGTGGTGGACAACGTGTCGCAGTTATCATGCTAGCAAGGCCAGCTTATCGCCTAGGTGAAAGTATCATGGCTGTCATCGACTTTACAGATGCTGACATTCCGTGCTATGCCGTACACATGTCTTTAGAGAGCTCTGAAAAAATTGACAACTCGATCGCTTTGCGCTCTGAAGCTAGCGTTCTTCGTGTTACACGAAAGGTCTACGTTTCACATTCAGAATCAACAATCTTTGCACGAAGGGTTGCCTTTTCACCTACTATTCCTGTCACTGCTACCCCAGAGTTCATAACTACTGGGGTCAGCCTAGAGTGGAAAATGCGAGTGGAATTTGTAACTCCGCGATTGACGTTTGAAGATAACGAGCTTATCACAGCAAAAGAAGATTTACTAGAGGAGATATCAAGAGATGATCGTGGAATTACACTTGCATCTGCCGAAGTGCTTGATTGCGAGAGCTTTGAGATAGCCGTTCCCATTAGAGTGTATGGCGCGTTGTCTGGAAATACAGACCGAGACGAAAGTCCGACAAATGGACTTGTAGTGTAAAAAGGGCACAGGATCGAATTGGATTAGGATGGATCGGCATTTACTCAGGCGTTCGGTACATAGAAGCCACATTTACGGAGTTTACAGCGCTTCAATCTCTATCAACTACTTTTTCAAATCTGGATATCAGTGTAAAGTTCTCCCATGTTTTGTGATTGCTAATATGTACTGCGTATGTCTTATTTCGTTACCTTGCGGTCTTCTTCCTTTCGCCCGAAGACGTGTGTTAATAGGTTTAGTTCACAACGTTACACTGGGAGTCCCATGACGTTGGCAGTCGATATGACAATCAGCTTAGATCACTGCTCAATTGTCAGTATCAAGTTGAGTACCACACGATGTACGTTTTCTGATAGACGCGGACTATTCCTCTAAATAGGTTGACTGCTGTTACGACGAGCCTTTGTGCTAGTCAACTTGAGACTTTTGCCAGCAGCTTGCTTCAGGACCACAATGATCAAGTAGCCCTTGCTCCACCGATGATTTACAGGTTCAGTTGAGGTACCAAGTAACTCTTGTTTGCTTGGGAGACTTACGGTATGCAAAGAAGCATAGAATTTCGAAAGCAAGATCGAATGTCTTCACTTCTCATCTGTGGAGTCTAGCGTCTCCCCAGTTTGCCCTACTCCATCACTGAAGCTTCCCTCGATTTTCGCTGTTCTTCAAATTGCATATTTTCAAGGTCGTTGCATCTTATTCAGGCCGAAAGGTAAGAGCTGAAAGCTTGATATGTAATGAACATTTCCCTCGGAATTATGGGCAAACATCATGGGACTTTAATTCTCGATAGTACAACGGCTGTCTTTGTGACAATACCGGCGGCGTGTATCCTTTATGAATAGCATGCCGTTGATTTGCGAAATTTGCGTCTATCAAGAGGTTTCCTCTATTAACAGGCCCTGTGTAGAAAACTGAGGACTTCTTATCTCACGATACTCTAGTCTTAAGGCAGATAATTCACTGACTAGTAGTCATCCGTCGCTAGAACGGTCTCCGTTGATTATTCACAGCCCATACACGGGTTATTTAATCTGTCTTTGTGCCTGTAACTTTCTTCCTTCACTACAACCAGACAAACCTCTGCTCTCTAGTTATCTCTCTTCTTCAGTGATATCTCAGCGGTTTATTAATCACTTGTTCTGTCTGTGCTTTCCCTCCTTCACTACTATCATACAAGCTTCTATTCTCTAGCTTCTCTCACTACATCGCACTCGAATAACATTCAGCTTTACAGTAATGTCGAAAACTTCATTTCCAAAAGGCCTGGTAGAATTCGCGTCATCCACCACTGAACCCGAAGCTACACAAGATGCAAAATTCAAGTTCAGATACTTGTCTTTTTTATGTGTTGAAAAGCATGATATCCTATCACAAATTTTCCTCAAGAAAATCAAGATTCCAACTAAACTGCCACTGGGCGCTTTCAAAGCATCTCATCTAGCAGCGACAGTCATTCATTTTTCGACCTGTTCTATCTCGGACTTGAATCCTCTTCAGAAAAGTGCTTTAGCTGAATTCCAAAACGATCCGACAGAATATGACTTAACCGGCAAGGTCAGCATAGAACGTGCTCTGGAGGCTTATGCTCGCTTGTTTGACAATCTGTTCTTTTGTGGTAGTCTATTGGTCGAAAATAGGGTCCGTTGGAAACTTTACAAGGAAACATCTACTGTATATGACTTTGTAGCACAAACTTGGCATCATTTGTAGGATAACACGTTCACAATTGAGATTTGCGAGAATCACCGTGTTGCATCTTGCACAGAAGAAAACAACATGGAGATCATCGGATCACTTTTACACGAGTTCCTTCACGTATTCCTGTTACTGCACGGTTGCCTTGGGTGTATGGAAAATTGGGTAGAGGGAGGTGCATCGGGACATGGAGAAGCCTTTTTGAACACAATGCACGCCTTATATACGGAGGGCATCCGACTGTTTGGAAGGAATATCCTTGGGAAAGAGTCTGGGTGCATGGTATCTCTCGCGATTGAAATCGTCCACGATGGAACACCGGATGCGGAGAACAATATTCCAGACGAGATGCTAGATCGTTGGGACGTGTGGCGACCGCGGCTCATCCAGGAAGTAGAGCGTCGTAGGGGAATGGAAAGGGATGAGGCTGTTCCAGATCGATGAACTACAGGAGAATAAAGAAGGATATAAACGCGGAGGCAAGTTTAGAAGTGCTAACTTGAAGTTGTTGGACGTTATAAGGCTTGGAAGATCAAGTGAGTGGAGCGACAATTATGATGAACTCAAGCTACTAGAATGGCATTAAATGTTTGGGATAGCATAAACAAACTTTCAGACTGTTACCATTTACATCTTTACATCATAATCGATTTTCTTTTACTAAGTGTTGTCAACTTTAGAAAACATGTTTACAGGTGTGACTCAACACACACTCACCAAACATGGATAGATTCAGCAACCGGTCCTAACTTCATCTCACGATGCTGCTTCTGTGTTGCTTCTGTGTCGTTTACCTTGTTTCGTCGTTGCTTTTTTTTCACTACTTCACTCGTTATCGTTTCGTTTGTCATCACACATGATGCCAAAACTTTTCTTCTTGGTCACTGTTCAGTTGATTGTACTAAAAGACAAATGTTTGATAGAAGACTTGTACTAACTCTTGTGATAACCTAATCATGTTTGAATAAGTACTTCCGCTCGCCAAATGGAGGAGGTCTAAGAATGCAATCGCTGATTCAACGAATAAAGCAATGACTCGGTTTTTCTCGTCACTTTTTGACTAGGTCTATGGTGGAAATGACGAATAAATGTCATTCGTCCGTATGGAAATGACAAGCGTTGAAATATAAGATAACAGTTGCTTCCTATCCACTACGATCTGGTTCTTCTGGACTACCAAGTTTCTTTTCAATCGTTACGTCAAAAACCCGCACATTTGTTTCTTACGAAATCCGAAATCCCAACTTCCAAGCGCAACTTTCCCGAGCCTCAATCTGTTCCGAAAGAAAGTCTGTTAAAACTTTGTGTCTCTTGAAAATATTTCATCTTCGACGCTTTCAGTGTTGATCCATATAGCTCTCCGTCAGCTTATTCTCTGATCACCTCTTACAGAGTCCGCCATTTGGATATATACAATATCAGAGATGTCGTCCCCCAAAAAAGCGAGCACATCTCTTCCACGCAAAGATCAACCAGTGAATCCAAATTTGCCTGGCAACTCTGATGATTTATCCGCAGTTAAGTGTGAAAGACTACATGAAAACTTCTTATCGAATGAATTTAAGAGTCTCGAGGCGCCAGCAAAATTGTCATTGTATTCCTATACCGCCACAGAATTAGCAAAGGCCGCCATGACTTGCGCAAAACTTTCAAAAAATAGCTTGAGTCTATTGCAAAGGAAAGCACTCAAAGAACACAAAGACAACTACAATAAAAAATATAAGCTCGATGACGGTGTCCCCATTAAAGTCACTATTGCAGCTTATTTCAAATTGTTCGACGATCTATTCTTTCTTGGAAGTCTTCAAGTTGGACGCCGCGTTACCATAGAAGTTGACCAAAAGAAATTTTCCGAGACTACTCGCAAAGGGAGCTCTTCAGAAGTTGACGGTGCAAACCAATGGCTGATTGAAATCCACAAAAATGACAAAGGCCTCTGCGACCCAGTGGAGATTCTACAAGAAAAGCTTACAACTCTGATGCACGAAATGATTCATGTTTATCTAGGCTTATTTGGTTGTCGCCGCTGTGAAGAAAATTGGCAGGAGCAGGGCTTGTCAGGTCATGGAATAGCATTTTTGGATACTATGTTTACACTCCACAAAGAAGCGCCGCGAATCTTGGAGGAAACCCTTGGCTTTTCTTCAATATGTTTAGAGGCTTTGAAAGAGGAAATCCAAGGTGGGGGATTAAAGGGAGGAATTCCAAGTCTTGATGAACTCGCGCGGTGGGGATTGGCTGAGAAGGTCGAAGAGTTGCAGACCTTCTTGGCCGAGACGTAAGGAGAACCAGGGACAGAAGCCAAAAGTCAGTCTGAATGCTCGAGCGAGGATGAAAGTTGCAAACATGGAGTCAAAGTTATGTCTGGCTTCCGAAAGCCGAACTAGAACGTCAATCAGTGTAAAGATAACCTGATGGAATGGTGTTGGAATAAAGCAGAGAGCGTCTGGACCTTTTGTCATTGGCTCTTTCCGAAGTGTTTGTCCTGATTGAGTTCCAACACGAAATGTTTCTACAACTGGAATTCTGCTGTAGGACTTTAGTTTCATTAAGAATGTCACTTTTACAACAATAACAACACTTGTGTTTACTGTAGCTTACTTTTTGGCACTCCTCTCGAGTAACCAATGCTCCGAGACTCACATTTCACTTTATTTCTTAGTGTTCTTCTAGGATTTGCCAGGGGTCCGAGTAATATTTTAATCGTTAATGAGCAGTAGGAATGAAAATTTGAGCACGAGTAATATTACCTTGTGACTTGATAATTCAGAAGACAGCGGTGAGAAACTGGTGAATGAAGCTGTTCAAGACATGAACTTGCAACACTTATATACAGAACAGTAAAGTAACGAAAAAATTGGACTATAAAACCAAATCCACCTGTTCTAAATCTAAATTTCATCTATCTATCATTGCTCCATCTCTTGCACGACACTACGTCTGCAGAAACTTTTTGCAGTCATTCTCAGAAGTTCGCCTCAGCAAACAGAAGGCCATCGCAGCTGGATCGGATTTAGTGAGAAGTCACTTCTCTTTGATCATTAGAATACACGACTTGAAGTAATAAGTCCAAGAACGTACATCTATTGAGATGTGGCCATTTCGAGCAGCTGCACCTTCTCCTACTCGACCAACAGCTTCACCGGAACAAACTGAACCACGCTTTGAAAGTAGCTACCGCGTCAATCGAAGTTACTGCAGGTCACATCATAAACCATTGACAATAGAGTTCCTGAAGAAGATTACCGGCCCAATAACAATTCCTTCCGGCAGATTTGAAGCTAGAACTTTGTCATCAGCCGCTGTTCACTTTGCTAATTTACCCGAGAACAAACTCAATGCTCTACAGAGGAGTGCTCTAGCAGATTTCAAAGCAAACCCAGGCAAATTCAGCTTTGATGGTAGAAACAGCGTCGAAGAACTTTTGGATGCATGGGCAACGTTGTTTGACAATCTATTCTTCTTCGGTACGCTGCCGAAGGACAGTCGAGTTTCTGTGAAATTCAAGCCAAAATCACCTGGAGTGGACTATCTAGCGCATTGTGTGGTCTGGGCAAGAAAAAGCAGAGTCACAATCTATGATGACCCCGGTAAGCCCCTTGTGTTCATCTTAAAAGAAGCAGTCAACAGCTTGCTACATGAACTTGTGCATGCTTATCTCGGCATGTATGGATGCCATGGCTGTCATCGTTTGTGGGAAGAGGAAGGAAACAGTCACGGAATTGCATTCCTGGATACCATGTTTGCCGTCTCAAATGGGGCACGACGACTCTTGAACTTCAAGGCTCCAAAGGGCGAAGGCTGTAAGACTTCCTTGGCTTGGGACATACATGACGAGGGCACGAGATTTCCCGAGGAGGAGATCTTAAGCAGATGGAAAATCTCTCGTAAAGCGCTGATGAAGAGTGTAGAGGGATACAAGGAAGGCGACGGAATAAAAAAGGCCGCCAAAAAAGAAGCAGAAACTCTCAAGAAGACACAAAAAGGGGAACGGATGCGGATGAAGAAAAAAAGGTTGATGATAAGATTCATAGATTCTACCTCCGATTCAAAGGCTCTCCAGCTCCGGATCTAGCATAGGCTTGCAGAGCTGGGGAAGTATACTAGTAGACCGTAGAACATGCAAAGTCAATCTATAGAAACGGAGGGAATTTTTTTTTCAGCAGGCGCAACAGCAACACCGTTTGTACTAAGGAACTTGATGATTGCCTCCAGTGTTTTCGAAAGTAAAGTAGTCACTTTAGTGAAAGAAACGTTGCGTATATATCAAAAATGAAGAGAACGATAAGGTATGTGATATGTTGATTATGAATGTCACTTACTAGAAAAAAGAGGAACCCATTTCCAATTTTCAAAGCTTTGTGATACCACAAACTTCATGTATTCGTAAAAGAACTTAACAATATGGAAGATTGTCCTTGTAAATATAGGTTGGGCAACTCCTACATCCTTCAACAGTATTTATTGTTCGCTGCTAGTCAGTGCTAGCCTGTCTTATAATCATAGTTAGTAAATTGTCGTTTTGGTAAGACAGGAAATGTAGGCTCGTACTGACAACGACATTCAGATTTATATGTATGCTCCCTATCGCCTGACTTTTTTACGTAAGTTCTTCAAATCTTCCGGATGACAAGCAAACCATTAACTCCTACCTTGTAAGCAATGATGTCGTATATGGCTATACCTGAATGAAGATAATTTATTTTGAAAAACTTTAGGGCATCAGTAGTTCAATATCAAGACGTTTGCAAAGGAGCACCATCCTCAGGGTATTTGTATCTACTCTTAGGAGCCCCAAGTAAATGACACTGTTCTCTGTACAAAAATGGCTTCGAGATTCGTGATGCAAGAACTGCAGTTACATGACTCTAGCGATTCAAATTGCTGAGCTTATCAGTAGACAGTTAGCACTTGCTGCTAGTCAACTGAGGTGAAAGTCATTGCCGTGGAGTATGTGCGGGGTCGCTCGTGCTGATCATCAATCAAGTGAGACTTCCATCAACACCATTCGAGAAAGGGAACTGGCGCTCTATTCAAAATGCGTCAAAGCTCGAAGACATCCAAAGCACCCATTGCGACGTATTTAACATCTCAAGTCTCCCAGACTTGCAAATCGCTCACAAGACTCTACTATCAATACTTCTGATCACTACACAACCATGAAGCTTCTTCTCTTCCCCACCGTTACTGGCCTTGGTCTTACCTCTCCTCGGTTCTTCCCTCCAGGAACGACGCAGAGTATAGTAAATCACGAGGGTAAGGACCCCTCAGAACTGGACCAATCATCCCAACAAGAATTCTAATACAAAAAGCTTTATTCACCAAATTCTACAGATGACTCTACCCAACAAGTCATGAACATTCTCTCCAGTGTCCTCTCCACTGTTAAGAAGATCAACATGGAGATATTTTTCGAGTCAGAGTTCAAGTGTGCAAAGAAAGGACGCTGTAAGATACCCAAGGACCGCTCATGAACCGTATGCTGATGTTTGTTGTATAGTTTGCAATGACTCGACTGACTGTTGCGGTACTTTGGAATGTGATAATGAGGATCTTGGAAAGATGCCAGAATGCAAACAGTTTTAGACAATCGAGGTAGCTATTTCATAGGTCAAACATACTTAGGTTTAATTCGATAAGTTCAAGAAACGTGTTAGAAGGCGAGAGAGAGTTAATAGCGCGACTGAAGATGTGACAAGTGTTGTAGAGGCGGGAAAGAAGATCTCGATTATGGTTGTCAGTTTTCTGGCTTACTGCTCATTAAGCAAGGACCTGTATTCAAAGATAACAAGCTGTTATATTTACAGTGACATCATAATTGCTTCCTTTTTGAAACCTACAACACCGCAGAAAGGAACCCATCATTGAGCCGGTGTCCGTCCCTTCACCAAGAATCTTCCCCCATTTATAATTAACTGTGGGCGGCTTGTTGTACAGGCGATTCAACAACCTCCAACTGCTATTTCCATTGGTACAATAGTATTGGTTGATTCGACTGTAAGCAAGCAACCGCTGAAGCAACTATTTTTTACGTCTGACAGGCTTGAGCATATGACCTTGTATGTTTCAAACATATGAAACTATGTTGACAGCGCAGCCTACAAATGATGTAGCCGTATTCGTAGTAGAAGGGTAGCTATTAACAGATGTCACGACTCAATGGAACCCCTTGAGTATCATTAAAATGTCATAACGTAGAAATGCAGAAGTGACACGATTGAGGAGCTTTGCAACCGAAAGGGGGTCGGGGCGGGCAACGGAAACCTGTGCGGAGATAAAGTCGGTGATTAACTAATCAAGACTAGCGCCAGACAGCGCGGGGCATGTGAACACCATCTCACAGGCAAGGCTGAACGCTCCACATTTCAACGATTTCTAGAAATCAGACAACTTTCATATTCTGATCGTCCAGTATATACAAAACTTCGCCAAAAGCTCATCATGGGTTCTGTTGTTCTTCCACATCTCCGCACTGGTTGGCACGTCGATCAGGCCATTCTTGGGGAGGAGGATCGCCTCGTTGTCATTCGGTTTGGTCGTGATGCAGACCCCGATTGTATGCGACAAGACGAAGTTCTCTACCGCATCGCAGACCGAGTCAAGAACTTTGCTGTCGTGTATGTCTGCGACTTGGACGAGGTCCCGGATTTCAAGAGCATGTACGAGTTATATGATCCCATGACCATCATGTTCTTCTTCAGAAACAAGCATATGATGTGCGATTTCGGTATGTTTTTTGTCCCTCCTTTCGCTTTTGCGGCTTTTTCTAACTTATGCCACCAGGAACTGGAAACAACAACAAGCTAAACTGGGTTCTGGAGGACAAGCAAGAGTTGATCGACATCATCGAAACGATCTACAGAGGAGCGAAGAAGGGTCGTGGTCTCGTTGTCAGTCCCAAGGACTACTCCACACGCTATCGATATTAGTCTGGGGTATGGGAAGATCGAGGCGTATATCATCCACAAAAAACAAGATGAAAGTATCAGCTGAGTGAGGTCACGACTCGCCAAGGGGCCTATAATTTGTGAAAGCAGTGGAAGTCTTTATAGTCGTGGAGTATGTTATACGAACCAGTCCATACACTCTTGCTAATGGAAATATCAGTCTCGGTTGCTGCCAGTCTACTATCGCTAACCAAGTGTGACCCCATGCCCAAAAGCGTATTGCATCTTGCCCAGCACGCAGGTCCAGGCCAGTTTAGAAACAAACTGCTGAGACCTCAGAACTGCCATTCTTAGCTTTGGTGTTAGTACGTAAAACCTGTCATGCCGCAAGAATGTGACTTGGAAGGTAACTTAATCTTGCGTTTGTCAAGATGAACTTTCCCAAATAGGAGATGAACACGGCGGTAACCGCCTTTGCTATGCAACCATAGTGTGCTACCCTTCGTGATATCGATGGTACAGTACTACTCTACAGTGGTCTACTTTCAATCCCATGAAGTTCCGCTACAAATTGCCGCATGTCCAGCCTACTTCTATTACCTGTCAGATCATAATTATCAGATCATAAATCTGCTAACAGGATGTGATTCATACAGAACATCTCCTACTTCGTGTGTTTTTAGCGGAAGCTCGCGCAGCCGTTTCAAGCCCACAAAGCCCCACCTTACTTTCGGTAAGCTCGAATTCGAGCCCTAGAAGATAACAGTTCACATGTGTGCCCCTGGGGAGCACTATCTGGAGGCTACTCATCCCTCAATCTGACAAGTATGTAATCCATAGTATAAACATGTTGATGAAAGGATTTCCTTTTAGCATCGACATTGGATAGCAAGCAGTCGACCAATAATTGAAATTCAAATCTGTATATCAGCTCATCCAAGTGCCGCTCACCACCATGCGATCCTATTTACCATCGAGATTAGCCATGGATCCTCACCTCGCACGTGCTCGAAACCACCTCGTTCTCGCATTGAACCATAGTTCTCCAATAAGACACCACAAACCCAATTAATCTAATACCCCGCAATATAATTTCTACATCACAAGCCTCCAAAACGGTTCTTGGTTTGCATATCCAAGAGGTTGAAAGCTTACATGCTGCCTTTATAGGATTCGTCGGCCGTCACAATGGGAGAAGTTTGGTTCTGTGTTACTTTGTCTGCTTGACTTTTGTGATTTTGGAAATATGCATCCACTCTTTGCTATTACGACGGCGTGGTGTTTATTTGCTTTAGTGAGTGCAAGCCCAGGAGTCGAAGTCAAGAGAGATGAGATTGGTAGTGGATGTCATTGGTGTAGTGAGGGTCCTTGGACAACGGCTACAGGTATGGTGTACACAAAATCTGCGATGTAAAAGAATACACTGGGATTCCGACACTAACGGTCACAGAATGCGATTCTGGCGAGTATTGGGCGGTTGCAAACAGCATGAGGAATCCGTATGTATTTGATCGAGATCCCGTATTGCAATGTACTGAGAACGGTAGACCCGAAAACGTCACACTGGATGTCACAGCATTCTGTTCCCAGTTCCTGCGTCCGCTGGTTACTGATACATCTGTCATAACCGAAACCGCGGGGACAACGATACAGACCTCTACATCGATATGGCTAACACTATTCACACCGACTAGCACAGCGTAAGACTCACACCTTATCCCAGCTCGAGATTTCCAACTGACAACACTACCAGACCTACAACCACAATCCCAACAGGCTTCCTCAAAATGCGATCACCACACGCAGCACCAGAACCCACCGCATCCCCCGAACTCAGGAAACCGCGAGCCGACCTAGCAATCCAAGAATACACCGTCCCAGAGTATCTGACAGACTGGTATTGGTACGGGCGTCTCGATCCAGGGTGTTCGTGTATCATCACGTCCGCGGCGCCGTCGGTGCATTTTTCGGAGACGTCGACGACGACGTTGTATGATGTTACGCTGGTATGTATATTCCGAAAATGAAAAGGTGGGTAGTGACTGATTGTGGATAGAGCGCGACGGTGACGGAGACGTATACGATTTGGCCAAAGAGCAAGGATTAGATGGGGGACATAGGGATGAGAGGGCAGGAACTGAAACAAGAATGTAGCATGGATCTGGTAGATAAGTTCTTTTTATACATAGCACGCCTTCTACATCGTAAGGCGCCTATTCCACAAGCAAGATATTGAAGACGCGGCGTCAGTCCTTCGTAATCCTGCAAAACTTTCCCAAGCACTTGCGCTGTGATGAATTGGAAATGTTCTGCCGTGAGAATTTTTGTGGAACAAGTTGCTTAGATTGCCTTCTCTCGAGCGCCTATCCCAGGAAGCAACATTATTCAAGAGTGCGTCGACGAAGAGGGGGAACGAATATCTAGATAGATTACTACGCACAAATACTCGATAGCCAAGGTTCTAGCTACCTGAGTGGGAATTCAATGAGCTCACACTGCTTGGGCTATGCATCCTGGACATTCAAGCCTCGAGGGATGGATTTGATTATTCGCAGAAGATGCTTTTGAGGGTTCGGATATTGGTGCAACCCGTTATAAACCGTACCCACCTGCGCCAGCAACCTGCTTCAGTTTTTTTCCACACGAATTTCAACGAGGATAACTCGAAGGCGTTGGACAAGGAGCCACGAAGAAGCAATCGCCACAGATATCACATAGAAACGAACACACGTGGAACAAGCTTTGGGTGTTGTGTACGAATATATTTTACTATGGTAACTAAATTAATGTATAGTGGTATCTGTCTGAGAACATCATGTTAGCGTTGATCATAACGACAAAGCAGTAGTGATGTTTCATGTGGAAAAAGCTTAATCAGACATCCAAGGAAGATTATACCCTCATCTGTCCCGGTTTAGGTTCTAAGTAAGTTGGGACTCGAGTGAAAACTGCGAATGTGGTATGTGTTTCATCATAAAAGCTGTGGAAGAAAAAAGAAAATGGATCTAGAACTGACCTTTGGTACGAAAGCTGGGTGCAAGCATCGTTAATTGAAAATTCTGTAGTATGGGCCAAGTGATTCAATATCAAACATCCTGGTAGGCAACACGAAGACCATGCGGCGAAACATGGATGAACACGAAGCTGTTCGAAGACATCGTACTCAGGAGGCCCGATGTCTCGAGGCATAGAATTTATGCTCTTCGCAAAAATCGATCTAAAAAAAATCTTTGGCATGGTTAGCAATGCGCAAATCAGATCGATGACATGAAAGACGATGGCGAGTAATTTTACTCAGACAAAGGTACTGGCAAGTAGCAGGCAAACCACGTATGGTAGAGCCCGGACAGCAAAAACTTCATCATTGGCGATTAAGTTTGGAAAAGAAGTGTTGTGTATAATTGTCATCATTGTAAAACTGTTGTCGAGACTGTAGAGACGCAGAAAGAACATACCTTTGATCGATATGGGAGGCTATGAAGCTGCCTCAAAGCTTTGCGAACATGTTTGCGACGTTGCGATGGTTGTGAAGATATTTGAATGATGTTGAGGAAGAAGAATTGGAGAGTCTTTCGCGAAGTTGTTTTGAAGCTCAATTTTTTTAGTGGGACGGCGCTAAGAGTACCGATCGCGCCAAGATACCAGTCACGTGATTTTGTCAAATCTAGGCTCAGCCAGTAGTGGTGTATTTTAGCCGTAAAAGCAGCATTAACGAGGTCATATGTGGTGCTGGGATCACATCCAGAAACACGTGACATAAAGGTCATTTGTACCATCTCGAGACCATATCTTCTGGCACGAATTTTTCTTGGAAGATTTTAAACTTAAGATTCTGCTGATTTACCGCAATCAAAATTCAGAGATTTTGGCTAGAGTAGAAGTTATCACACTCGGTATCATCTCTCTTCTTCGGACTCATCGGAGCGCAAATACGGCGCCGAGCTGGCGGCTCCTAAAGCGGCAGCCCCTAGCCATTTCGCTGGCCGTTCCCCAAGCCATGCCCAAATCCCCGTCTGCATTTGATTCCCCTAGAAAGCAACTGTTCCAAAAGGTTATACACACCTCCCCCCGGAGACAGAAAACCACCACTACCTCCATGACGGCTATGTTTTGCTACTCTCTTTAGCAATTCCCCTCGCACTTTAATATTATAATACGACAACTTCAAATTCTCTGGACCGCGGCGCGCTCTCTCAAAATACCTCACTCGCGGCCGGTCTTTCGCGACATTATCTCTTGCTTCACTCGCACTTTAGACACCGATCGGGTCACCCAACCCTCAGCCTTTCCTGCTTCGACGTCTCCACGCGACTCGTATATCGCGACGGTGATAATTCTCGAAGAGACGCGGTAACAGCGATCGACGAGTTTGAACCACGGCGACTTGTCCGAGTGGGAATTCTGAATGCGCGAAGCACAGAACGATTGCTAATCTCTCGACGTTGTGGCCACGGATTACATATCGACCGCTCAGGGGTTTGCGACGCGGCTTTCGACATTGTTGCGGCATTTCAGACGAGCTCTTACTTGCGCTCAGTTGTGATACCTCTCGGCCCCTTCACGCTGCGAGCACTTTACAAGTTACACAGACCGCCAGAGAGTGAGGTGGAACACCTTCAAATCAGAGGACGAAGAACTCATAGTGAGCCGCGGATCTGATTGTACATATTCATTCAGGCCCTAAGTGAGCTGTTGGTGCGGAGAAAGACATTCTTTGGGAGGCTTCTTGGCGGCAGCGAAACGGGCGACTATCCACTTCTTCCTCACGAGCAAACAATTACCGCGACGGCGACTAAAATTTAGGTCTTGAGCGAAGACGTATGCGTGGTGCAGGAATAGAACGAGTCGGATTCCACGTTGTGGAGGGTCGACTTTCAACACCATGATGACGAGTCTCTCCTCGGCCTATTCACCACATCCTGGGGGAATTCATCCAGGAGTCCCTCAAGGACATCCTATGGCTGTACCTCACAATCCAGGCCAACAGCAGCCAGGAATGCCACAACAGATGCACATGGGAGTTTCTGGACCTGGAGGACCCCAAGTAAGCCAAGCCGGGGCTCTAATGGGTGGCATGCCACCTGGTGCTGGGGTCCCAAGTGCGCATGCTCTCCAACATCTCAACCCAAACGCGGCTGCACAACAACATCAAATGCTTCAGCAACAGCAGCAAATGGCGTGTAAGTAGTTTTCGTGTTATTGTGATTTTGCTCGTTCGCGGATTTTACTTCTTGGATGCGACGGGCCGAATGCTGACATGTCATCACATCATAGTCGCGAACAACTCCAACTTTCAAATGCAACAGCAACAGCAACAAATGATACAGCAGCAGCGAGCTCAACAAGCTGCGCGACAACAAATGCTGGCTCAACATTATAGTGGGATACCTATGCCCATGCCAAATGGAATGAACCAGATGACCCAGGCGCAATTTCAAGCGATGAGAGGAGCTGGTCCAACAATGGCTCGGCCGGTGAACTTACCGCAACACCTCCAGCAGCAACAGGCAGGATTGCAGGCTCAACATACTCTGGAGCAGCAGCAGCAGCAGCAGGCACAGGCTCAACATCAAGTACGTTTTCACGGCCGAGCTCTTCCGCTTAGTGTTATCAAAATCAAGAGGCCTTGTGCTAACAGATCCAGCATCAACAACTTGTAGCTCAGCAAATGGCCATACAACAACAAGCAAATGCGCAGGCCCACGCCGGGAACGGTCAAGGACAGCAAAACCAGCTTAGTTCGCAACATATCCAGAGTATGCAGCAAGCTCAGATGGCCCAAGCCCAAGCTCAGGCCCAGCAAGCTCAACACCAACAGTCTGCAGCAGCAGCAGCCCAGCAAAATCAACCACCGCCATCTCAACCGCAACCTCAGCCGCAGCCAAATCCTCAGGCTCAACCACCAGTGTCTTCGCAACAACCTCAGCCCCAGGCTCCGAACAACGCCCAGCAACAGCAAGCAATGGCGGCAGCGAGAATGGCACAGATTCAACAGGCACAGCAAGGCGAAAAGCTCAGGGGGCAGTGTCTAATGAAGTTAATGCTATTCGCGGATCATTTAAGCAATTTTGCGACAAATTCAAAACCACTCGAGACCTATATGGCTAATGGGGCGGCCTCGCGAGCGGCTGCGCAATTGACCAAACAGCAAGAGGACTTGGGTTACTGGATGCACTTTGTCAGCCAATTCTTTTCTCCGAAAGGTGTTATGCGACATTCGTTGTGGATGTTGGATGAAAACTCCAATAAGCAATATGAGATACCGTTCTCGGCTCTGCCAAGATATTTCCACACCCATTTCGAAAGCGGCGTCAAATCGATGCAGCTAATCACCGAAAAGGGAACAGAGAGAGCTTTGCCCAATAGCGGACATTACATCGAGAGTCAAAAGTCGACATTCGTGTATTGGTTTGATAACGGGTCGCAGGTATGCTAATGAAGCTCTGTTTTCTTTGAAGCCTTTGCTAATAATTACAGCTCGTTGCAACAGGCAGTCTTCGTGCGCACTTTGACTCGGAGCACAAGATCGAACTCCTTGAGTTTGTGACCAATAATCACGAGGAATACCTTCCCCGTGCTAAGGCGATAGAAGCTTTCAAGCCAGTGCACGAATGGGCCAAGGAATGGCATAAACTGAACACGGCACCAGAGGGCAAGCAATCGCCTGAGCTGAATAAGAAGAAGCCTAAACCTATGAGATCGCCCCCAAACCCCCCGCCTGAGATCGACATTGCCCACTCTAAGGTCAAACCAAACATCGGAATTACGACATCAGTATTCCGATTTTTTGAGGTATGTAGTCGTTGGTATCAGCGAGAAGCCTTATGTTAATTTGTTATAGCTCGCTGAAGTTATGGGGCAAATGAATCTTTTGTTCCATTACTCACATCAGCACTCATCACTTACACCGAGCGCACTCCTTGAGCAGTATGTTACCACCATTGTCAACACCGCCAATGGACCTGCACAACAAAACCCCTCGGGTCCTCGAACTCCAGCCATGGGAGGATTTCCGGTCGCGTCGCCGGCTCCACCTCATATTCAGCTACCCGGTGGATCGCCACATATAACTGGCAGTCCAGCGCAGGCTCCTCACATGCAACTTCAACAAAGCCAGCACGGGACAAATTCTAGCGGGCCGAGCGCAAATACGAGCCCCAACGCTAGTAACAAACGGAGGAGGCCATCCGCTGTAAAGACAGAAGAAGATACGCAAATCAATGGTGGCCCAAAATCCACCGTTAGACCAAGTCCAAGACTAACGAAAAAACAAAAGCCAAATGGACCCGGGCCTGGATAATATTTGTTTTGTTTGTTGGATCGCATGTTATTCGGAGCCAGTGACCAGCAAGTTGTCCACTCTCATTCGATTTGGTACCTCAAATCTGAGTTTTTCCTCGAGTTGAGAAGAATCATTCAACGTACGATGATCACAATGACATTTATGACTGTGTTAGTCGTCCTCCCTTTCCAGGATGTTCTGCTCATTCCGGGAGGTTTAGGCGCCCAAAATCGACTGCGGAAGAGGTCGTATTAATCCAAGCTGTATATTATGTTTATTTTTGTTATTTGGGGCCCACTGCACATCTTTACCGACACAGACGGAGTTTTGGAATGTTATTTTATAGGGTTGGGCGGTATCGGTTGTCTATTGGCCGGCTGCTTTTGTTTATATGATGTTGGCTTTGCTCTTGGCTATACCCAGGGCGAATTATGTGACTGGATAGATGGATGCTAGAAGGGAATGCATGTCGGGGGTTGCCCATCACTTCTAGATAATGGATGATGACGAGAGTTCGTGTTGAAAGAAAGTCATGGTATTTAGGTTACACATGCAGTTGATGAATAAAAGTTGTTGAGGCTATCTTATCATTACTTTTGCTCTCTGTTTTCATGCAACCATGTCAGTGCCACTGCCGTTGCCTCGCTTTCGCTGGCCCGTCGAGCCTTTGGCAGCTCATCCAATAATCTTATTTCCCTGCAAGCTTTCTTTGGTTCTGGTTATGAGCTACGAGAGCCGACTTGCTTTAGCACTCACATGAAAATTTCGCAACGAAACTTGTGCTTTGCTCTTTTCGAAATCTCGACTATCCACTTTACCACAAACAAAATGTGAGTAAATATTCGGATTTGCAACATGCGCGTTCGGCTTATCGTAATTGGTTGTATGGTAAACGAGGCTGCATAAGTGGCAGCTTCGCCAGACTTCAAGGGAATCATCCATTCCTCTTCAATTTTCCAGCCTTCTGCAACATGGAATCCATTCCACGTCCCACAAGTTGTTCCAATATAGACCACCTTAAGGATGAACCGCAAGGATACATGTACACTCCCTTCACACATTCTGATGAGATTCGACTCCTTGTCCTTGCTCCAGACGATGGGTCAGAAGTCATCTTGTGTTCTCTGCGACATGTTCGTCTCTCTGAGAATCCTCGATACGAAGGGTTATCATATGTTTGGGGAGAATCATCGAAGCCGAAAGCAGTATTGTGCGATGGGCGAATCATGCGCGTCACGGAGAGTCTATATTCGGCGCTTAGATGTCTACGATATAAAGACAGGGATCGAGTGCTTTGGGCAGATGCAATATGTATAAACCAGAAGCGGGATATGGAGAAGAACCATCAAGTGGCACTTATGGCAAAGGTTTACTCGCAGACTGTCTTCACTAATATATGGCTTGGTGAAGACAAGAACGGTGGTGGAAGAAAAGCCTTTAAGTACATTAGGGAGCTCATAGATGCTCTGAAGGATCACTCTTATGACGTGGAGAAGATGCGACAACGCTTGATATCCATGGGCTATACCACAGAAACAGACTTTGACACCTGGATATCAACCTTCTTGTCGAATCAGATTGTGATGCCAATCCTTCGAAACCAATGGTTCAACAGACTTTGGTGTCTTCAAGAGGCGGTACTTAGCCCAAGGCGTGTTCTGAACTTTGGAGCCGCCTTCATAGACTGTAACACGGTGCTAGACTTTATCTTGGAATACGGATATCCCCTAATCATGTCCACATCACCTGAAGGTTCTAATATACCTCCGACTCAAAAGCTCTTCAACATGGCCAGATACACATTGGAAACCAAACGAGACATCCTAGCACTATCGAGAGAAACTTCACCGTTAACAGGATATGGATGTAGTGATCCACGGGATCAGATATACGCGCTTTTAGGCATGGCGGACTGTCCTGGGTTTGAAGCAGACTACACTTTGAATACCGACGAAGCGTCCACTCGTTTTGCGTCTTGGACTACTGCGTCCGATCAATCATTTGGGTTAAAAGTACTTCAATTAGCACGCGGTAGCTCAAAATGTGGATGTAAGGTACCAACATGGTCGCCGTGTCATGATATGGACCGACCACCAGTGTCTCTTACAGCATGTCCAAGTTTTAATGCTAGTGGATATATAAGTGGCTCATTCAGGAATGCGATCATTCAAAAAGAGCTGGTATTGGAACTCAAAGGCTTCATTTTCGACAGTGTCGGGGAACCTGCACTTGACTCCATGTTTCTGGATGGACATGATGAAGACTGGTCGGCTAGAATTGATAAGCTTATGGATTTTGTAGGGCTACCGGTCAAGTCTCTCGAGAACAAAAAGTATAGAAGATTTTGTGCGGCATTGACGTTTGGGCTACACAATGTAGTGCCTGGCAGTTGTGATCCGAACGGCTTGAATTTCTCGGATGGTGGCCACTACGGACTGGACGGGCGCCAATTGAGACTCACTCACCAAATGATTTTAGATGGTAGCCATGAAAGTTTGGATGCTGATATATCTATACTATGGGGATTCCGCTGCTTATCTATCACGGCTTCTGGCAAATTCTCATGGGTACCGTGGAGATCCGAGAAAGAGGATAAGATGGTTTTTATATGTGGATCGCGAATCCCGCATGTGGTACGTCAGCAGCATTGCGGTGCATATAAATATGTCGGCGAATGTTGGATGGAGGGTTATATGCATGGAGAGATCCTCGAAACTCCTAATTTTGAGTGGCAAGATTTACGACTTCTCTAGAATGCGAAGAGCCCACGGTGATATGAGGAGTTTGAGTCGAAACAACGGTCAGAATGTCGTTAATGACCAAGGGGTACAGAACCAGTTTCTTGATCTTTAAAAATGGGGGCTCAAGTGTACTCAGCATTTCATTGCATCAAGAGGTTGCAAATCGACTAACCTTCCACACTATGTAGCAGGTCTCTCGTATGCTAAAAAGATTTACTGGCCTTGTATACTGCATGACGCGGTACTTCTCAGCTGGAAATGGTTCGAAGATGCCGGGGTGAGCAAGTAGATGTTTGGCCGCAGCAAAAATGCTGGTGACATTTTCAATGATTAGATCCTAAACAGGACATTTCACATGATCATCTGTGTACTCCCAGAGGCAGGAGACCAGTGAAATTGATGTAAAGTAGAAAGGCATTTCAAGATACTGCCTCTTCTGACTTTACCTTGAGACATTCAAAAACTCCAGGACTCCAGCTTGCACATATTGAGAGGATGACTGGTAAGAGTTGTTTGAACACTGAGAGGGGCATATGCTCTTCCTCGGACGAACCGTTCACATCGGAATTGCCTGAGGAGCCGCTCTAAGACACAGGTGGGTGAGGACCGCTGAATCTCTGTTACTTGACCGCGTCTGCTAGAAATCACCAACTAGACACCGTCAACCCCTGTTACGATGCGAGAACGGGATGTCGTAGATAACATATAAAATTGTGAGAGATGCGATGTCCTATCTAGCCAAGAGCACAAAAGCTGTACAGCGCACTTCAGAGTTCTGCAGAAAGAGTAACAGAAAATAGTTACAAGTATATCCGAGCAGTTTTCCTCAATTGCTTGTATAATTAATATCCCAAGTTGACTTTGTTATTTTCTTCATCGACTACCTACACAGTTATAAGATTTGAAAGTGATGAGTCCTCGCACAGAGTTTGTGCCACGAGAGCGGAAGAAACAGATTCCCCCATACAAATATCCAATCACTATGAAGGTGTAATTTTGTGAGCTGATAAGTAGCCAGCGCGTAAATATGGGAAACTACCAAACCCGATTTCGGTGCCGTGTCTCCCGCAATTGTCCTTTGACGTATTACTTAGCACGGAAATTTTGTGCATTGCGTTGTCATCCTCTCAACAATGTATATATGCCCACTAACAGATGCCGAGGATGGAGACGGCGGATTTAGTAGGATGTCGGAGCAATCTTTCTTGGAAGTCAAGAGGACCTAATGTATACGTGCTCCTTTCTATGAGTTGAGCCAAGCATGTCGAAGAAGCTCGTCAGCAGTCGGTCTCTTCGAAGGATCCACTTGTAAAACATCCCTCACAAATTCCCAGTCTTCGTTTGGGATTCCGAAAACATCTTGTATGAAAGAAAATGTGAGAGGGTCACCGTAGGGAGATAATTTTGGTGAAAATCTTGAAATCTCATCTTGCCATTTCTCGGGTATCTGCTCAAAAAACGATTCCGGAAACGGGATCATAGTCCACATGGAACGCAAGAATTCTAGATCATGTTTCTCAGGCGGCACATCTTCGAGACTACCGATAGGTTTAAAGAGCTTGGCGCCGGGTTCCATAATTAGGGAGCCCATCTAGATGAGCAAATAATCAGCACCTGCTCACCTTAAAATAGAAATAGGTGATAAAACTCTTACAATTGCTCCAAAGGACCAAATGTCAGCCGGCGTGCCAAAAGGCATTCCGGTCCAGGACTCAGGACTGCGCCAAAACGGGTTTGTTATCAGACGATATCGGTCTTCATCTTGTTGCCAAGCTAAAAAAAATTATCAGTTCCAGGGCTTCAACAATGAATCTCTACAGAATCGTACCAACTCCGAAATCGATAATCTTGACCAGTAATTCTGATGTAACCGTGCGGGAAAGCGATGAGAATACGATGTTTTCAGGCTTCAGGTCTTCATAAGATTATCAGCATGAGTAGAATCGATGACGATGTGAAACACTAATCTGTATGGACTATGTTTTGCTTATGCATGTTTGAGAGCGCAGTTGAAACTTGTCGCGCAATTGACTTTATTTGTGAACGCGTTAATGGGCGCTTCTCTTCTAAATAGTGTTTATGAAAATCAGATTCCAGATATTCAAAAACACCGGCATGTGAATTTGCATCGGGATCTTCACTCAAGCTAATTCGATCAACAAGTTGCCGGATGCCCACGGTACCTTTAAGCGGACCACTGAGAATGCCCATTTCGTTGTTGAGCTGATACCTGGCCTGTGTTTGCTCTTTTTCTTGAGTACGCAGCGGAAACTTGATGATGACCTGGCTCCCATTACTGGAAAATCGATTGGTCAGCACATCTTCCTTCCAGTCATCATATATATGGCTCTCCTACTTCTCTGATCGACCAAGCCAGACGAATGCATGGTGATCGCTGGCAGGTTCGATGAGACGATATCTTTGCCTTGAAATTGTAGTTAGAACTTGTGCCGACCGCAAGTTACGGGCGGTAAGAGGTCCCATCTTAGAGCTGGAAGACCCCATGTTGGAGTGTAGAGGTTTATGCGCTGTGAAAATGAGATGCAAAAGTGCAGAATCGTTGAAATTTGAATTAGGTATTAACCAACAAGAAGATGAATTTAAAGTGGGTCCCGTTCACCTTCGGCCTCATTTACGTTTCTTCTCCTGACCTGGCCATGTGAATACCATTCACCCAGCACTTAATTGGCAAATAATAATTCTATAGTACAACAATAGTTTATCCAACTATCCTAAGAAGTGGCAAATGTTGTTAAAAATTTTCAATTTTGTACAACTTCTCCAATTTTTGTGTAAGAGAAGACTGTTGTTTTGTTAGAGGGCAGACACCTTTCGTCTATCCGTTGTTCGAAGAGTGATCTTATTAAAGATGTTTTGCAAATTTTTAATGAACGACCAGTTTACAAGCACTTCTAAGAGTTCGGAAAAAATTAGGAAAAGTAGCATCTCTATAAATATAGGTCAGGGTGCCGAGGATTGGCAGAACCTCCATGAGCGACACTTCAAATTATCCCCCTTCTAACATCAATAGCCCACCTAGTTAGGTAGGGGCTGCTCCTCAGAGAGCATAATGATCATGCGTTTTGTTTCATTCACCAGGTTTATTTACAAATCATATAAATAGTAGTTCTCAATCGCCTTGCAATATTATAATTAAATAAAAGATTTTTAATTTCTTCTTCTAATCTTCTAGAATAGATAAGTAGCAAGAAATAGAACAATTAGGTGAATTTAACCCCCTTTACTATATCAGAAAATCTACATTGTAATACTACATTGTTCAAAAGTATTAGCTATCATTCTCAAAATAGATTGTATAGTTCTATTGTAATAATATGTATTAATGATAGACCTCACAGTCAACGTTGTCGCTAGTTGAACTCGTCGTTACTCATTATTTATTACTCCTTGAGGAGCCCCATAGGCTGGTAGATTGCTCAAAATAGCAGACAAACACCATACAAACGCGTTGTGTCAGCCACAGTGGGAGTCGACGCGAACTGTTTTTAGAAGCTTTAACCGTATGTTGGTCCCTCTAGTGGTGTGACAAAACACTTATTGGGTCTTATAATTGTCCTTGTTATACACCCACTGAGATAGTCAGATGTCAGAGTGTCAGATGCCGTATCTTGATAGGAAACATCAAGATGTCGAAATCAGGTTAGTGCTTAGACATGATATCTCAAGAGTTATGACTTACTTTAATGAATCTTAGGTGTATGTGCCATGACAGCAAGAAATATAGAACAGAGCACATGACGGTTGCTTGCTTTGACGCAAGCGGCAAATTTGTGGATATGATTCACATCGTTAAAAACAAAAGCGAGCAGCAAAATTATCGCCAGAGGATTACCAAGGCATAATTACAGCCGCTGTTTGCCGTGAACATTGTTCGCTTTCTATCTAGCAATTTCGTGTTGAAGCCCGAGTTCCAGCCAGTCTTTTGCGAATATTTAAAACATATGTTGTCGTGTGGCGCTCTGAGGGAAGTCTTGTGTTTTGATTGTTGAGGTTCACTGTAGGGGAGCTGGTCGATCTTTGATGTATTATTAGTTAAACTATGTAGCAATTAGAGCAAAACAATAGAAGAGTGGTTGAAAGAGCGAATACCCTTTGCGATTTCTAAATCTTCATTTGCTTGATTGAGATCGGGAGGAACCTACTTAAAGAACTCATCTGTATCGGGAGTTAATTCATTAGATGGTGGTCTACAGAAATGTGTTCCTTAATGCTTTATATAAGCCGTCTGTGTGATCAATCAAAAAAATTATATTCGGAGGTGGCCCAAAAACCATGAAATAAAGCAAAAATCCCAATGCTTAGTTGGTAAACTTGGCAAAATGATACTGTTGTCTATGAAGCGATGTTATTGTTGACTTTGTACTTCATACAGGTAGCAAGTTAAAAAAAGTAGAAGAGGATAAAGGCAGCTCAGAAATTGACGAAAATAACGCAGTCTGGAATAGCGATAACAAGCTCTCGCGAGTTGGTTGTTACAACTCCCTGCAGTTACGGGCATCGAATATCACGGGCAGCGGTCGGTGATGTACGACCACTCCAATCACCTTGACTCTGTTGAGTTCGAGCGGTACCGTAGGTCAGCTGTGCCTGACAATATGCACGTAGCAAGGATGGTTTGCGGGGTCGTAAGCCTTCCACACACTACGTAGAAGCTTGGGTGGGATAAGCTTTGGTTAAGCATGACAGATATCCAACAGAAAGCCCACCTTCCAAATGGGGCAACCTGATAAGGATATTTCTCGCCTGTCCTTAGAGACTCCCTCTATTTCTACACTCCTCTCGCTTTTTTTGGGCTGCGTAGCTTACAGCAAGATACCAAACACTGTATCACCTTGACTTCACAGTTTCATGTCGTCAGCAAAATGCCGTAGGTGCAACGCTCAAAAGATAACCTAATTTTCGAACTTGGAAAATAAATTGCATGAGGACATTCCATGCAATTCGTAGATTGTATAGATCAGTACGCACGACTACCACCTTCGAATGAAAGAATTAATATATTCGAGCAATGGTGGACAGAAATATGAAACAGGAACGAGCCAGAGTCTTTGGAAATCAACGACAGGTAGTAGAGGAGGAGTCAGAGTGTGAAGAAGAAGACGCGTTCACACCCCTCCAGGTCGCGGCTTCAGAGGGCAATCTCAATCTCGTTTCAGAGCTACTGAAGCAAGACGTTGATCCCAACGAGCGACCCAGAGGGTGGTATGGCAAAACCGCTCTCCAAGCAGCTGCTTTATACGGACATTTCGCAGTTGTAGACGCACTGATTGCCGGCGGCGCGGACATAGACGCCCCAGGTGGTAATAATGGCGGAAGAAATGCACTGGTCCTCGCTGCTGCTTCAGGCCACCTCCAGATTGTAGAGCGACTGATTGCAGCAGGCGCAGACGTCACACTACCAGCTACTCGCTATAGAGGACGAACATCCCTCCAAGCTGCTGCCGAAGGAGGAAATTTGCCGATCGTTGAGAGGCTGCTAGATGAAGGAACTGAGGTCAACGCGGCGCCTGCTCACAACTACGGCCGGACAGCACTTCAAGCAGCAGTGGAACAGCAACATATGAGCATCGTAGAGCTGCTTCTCGAGAGAGGAGCGGAAGTCAACCAGTCTATCAGGAGGTATAAGGGAATGACGGCTCTGCAAGCAGCTGCGTCGGTAGGCAATTTGGATCTGATTAAGCTGCTTATCGATCACGGCGCCGCTGTGAATGCGATGGGAAGTTACTATGATGGCTATACGGCGTTATCTGCGGCTGCTGGAGCTGGACATCTCGATGCGGTCAAGGTATTGCTGGAGAACGGTGCGGATATTACTGCGACGTCTGGAAATAAACATTTGACGGCCATGCAATGCGCAAGGTTGAAGGGACAGAAGGAGGTGATCAAGTTGCTAACAGAAGCGCAGCAATTAAGGGATATCCGAAAGAAGAATGATCACTCGTGAGGAGTGACGGGAGTCAGAAAAATGTTATAGAAATCAAGACGCGAAGTCGAATGTTTAACGCGTTAGCACGTGACACTAATATGATGTCAAGATCACATGATGCTCGCTTAGGTATAACACTCTTCGGATTCCGACTTGCACTACTCTGTAAGAAGCTGGGTATGAAAAAGTTTTAACGCCTGAAAATGTTATTAGAAGCTGTTTCTAGATCTTATATTTGGGTTGTAGATAAGCTGTTACACAGCAGCTCCAAAGACCAATGGATATCGACAAGTGATTGGCTAAAATACCCAGCGACTCATTCTTCCCCGGGAAAAGTAACAAACAACATCGTTTTACAGTGAGGATATTCAGAAGCAAACTCCTTTATAAGCTTCGTATAATTCAGAGCGAAACTTTTCACCGCAGAAGTATTCAGCTTGAACAAATCTCTAGTACTTTCATGCACTTACCAAAAAGATCCGTATAATTGGTCTCTATTGTGATTGTTCTCTTGTTTTTATTCACAAATGTAGGATATGTACTTGAGAAAGCCAGCTCTGAATGAAAACCCTTTAAGTTGGAAAGAAAAACGGCATTTAAACAACAATGCTTCCCACTACTTCTTCCTCGCCTCACTTCATATTACTTACCAAAAAAAAGACAACTTCAAACTCAGTCAACATCATTGTCACCTCAAGCGATGTCGGGCTATTACTATCACAACCGCAACATGGGACCACCCCCACAACCACAACGCAGATACGAGCCTTTCTCTAATGCCTACACCGGTCGCCTCACTTCCAACTCGATGTTAATGCACGGCTTTCCTAACGGTCCACCTATTGCAAATCCTAGAGCACGTCTTGAGCAGATGGGTTTCACAGACTCACAAGGTAATGGCAGCTCGCAAAGCATCAGAGGCTCGCAACAACAACAAATACGTCAGCTTGAGCAGCGATTGGCCGAGAACCGTCGTCAGGCGGCGATTGTTCAACAGCAGATTAATCAAATGATGAGACGTCAGTGCTTGTATGGTGGGAGTAAATGCTCAGGAAGAGGAGTATTTATGAGGAATTGGAGACATCTTATTGCAGCTTGCTTGGCTCCTTGATTCTCATCGTATTTTCTAAAACCACAACCTCTTGTGTCATCATCATACATTTTTCTCAACATAATAATTTCAATCTTGCGTAGCTTCCCTTTGTGCCCTCCTTTCCATATTTTTTTGACGTGCGATCCTCTTATCCTCAGGACTCTGCCAGTCAACACTCCCATCCCGATAGTTTACCCAGTATGAGGTGCCCTTGTTCAAGCCGCTCTCTGCCACATCTTCCAGGATCCACGATTTCCACGCATGTCCATCCTCTCCGTACACTTCCGTGTCTTTGTCTAGAATACCAGTGGCTTCCAGCTCTGCTAGTTTGACAGGGCTCAGCCATGAAGTAGTTTTAGTTTCGTCGTTTGTGTAGAAGTGTCGACCTTCTGCGTCGAGGCACTGGTTATAAGGAGATTGCAACTCCACGTCGGAATCTGAATGCCGATGAAAGTCTTTGTGGCGCGGATGGGAACGAGAAGTTGTTTTGTTAGCATGGTCAACGAAGAAGATTTTCCCCGTTGTCGGCTCCATCCGGCATTCCCAGTTTGGTGGAAGCTCTTCTTTGAGGCGCGGATGAATAAAGGAGTTTGTTTCGTTAGCATGATCAATGTAGTAAACTCGTCCGGTCTCTGGGTCTTTGGCATAATCGACATCAGGCGGGAGGTCGGAAGGATGAGGTGACGGAGTATTGGTGGCCATTGCAGAGTTGAATGAAATTCGGTTCTCGACTGTTAGAGTGTTGTTGAATTCTGGCTGACGATAGCAATAAGGTTTAGTAGTAATGGTAAAGAAACAGATGTACCGAAGTGCGCATGCTGGGTCTTAAGAAACAGGGCACGATACTACCTAGGCAGGTACCTACCTAAGGTACATGTACCATTCGCTTATTTCTCGTACATAAAACCAATCACATGTAAGCTTAAAACCGGCTGTGAAACAAACCAACAAACCAACTACATACGAAGCAGGAGTTGATTCCTCCGGAAATTTCCGGAAATGAATTACAGTAGCAGTTCTCGGGAATTATTAGACTTACGTGTACGGAGCAGGGATTCAATTTCTTCAGAAATTGGAGATGATTTGCAGTAGCAACTCTCATAAAAAGGTATTTCTTTTACATGCATTGAGTAGGGACTGATTCCTTTGGAAACAATTTAGAATGTCAGTTCTTATGAGACTGTCTGGTTTACATGTGTCGCGTGGGGAGTCAGTTCCTTTGGAATTCTTTTGAAGTGGCAGTTCTCCTGAAAGTGTCTTTTTAGGTATGGGGCGTAGGGAGTTCACCCATCTGGGAATGGTTCAAAGTGGCAGTTCTCTATGAAACTCTCTGGGTTACATGTGTGGCGCGGGGAATTTATTCCTTTGCAACTGACTTAAAGTGCCAATTCTCCTGAAAGTGTCTTTTTAAATATGGGCCGTAGGGAGTTCACCCATCTGGGAATGATTTACCCAAGAAAGCCTCGTAAAAGTATCCTGTTTACATGTAAACAGTAGTAGGGGCTCAATTCCTTGGGGAATGGTTTACAATCGCAATTCTAATGATAGTATCATTTCCACACGCGCCCCTCAATTTCGAACCAGCCGTGTCATTTTTTTCACTTGACAAGGTCTTCTGAAGCATCCTGTCTCCGCCCTTTAGCAATCTTTATGGCTCATCTGAGTAGCAATATATGTAATGATGGATCAGTTGACTGTCAAATATGTAATGTCATTGTCTGTAACCATAGCCTCACTGTGCCCTCACATTGTTGTTAACTTAGAGATTGTAACAATCCTTGGAGCGAAGGAGAAGATTTCTGGAGTATAATAAGCTGCCTCTTCTGGTCCGTTCAGCAAAATCAGAATCAACTCATTATCATCTCTCAGCCAAAAGCCTCATTTCAACCAAAACAACAAGCACATTGAAAGCTACTAAGTCTTACTTAAAATCATCACAAAAACAACAAACAATCCAATCAACATCACGCTCAATCGTCATCATGCGTTTCAGTTTCATTTTGTCACTTGCTATTGGCACGTTAGCAGTCGTTGCTAGCCCAAGCAGTAGATACGGAAGTTCATCAGGAGGACGAGGAGGGGGTGAAGGTTCTAACAGAAAAGAAGCCATTAGTGTTCCTGCCCCTAACTTAAGGCTCGTCTGCGAGGCCCCAGCTAGGCTCAGCACATGCCAAAGAAACTGCGATTGTAATTACATTCCCGAGGGTTCCACCCAACCCGATTGCTCAGAACCAGTCTGCTACGACAATTGCTTTTGTCAAGGTAGGTCAACATGACCCACCCATTATGTTCCGAGGAAAAGATCGCGCTTTACTTGTTCCTTGCTGACTCTTTTTTCAGAACGAACGCCACCTCCAACCTATTATGATCCGAAGTATGAGAAGGGTGACTCAGCCAGACCTATTCCTAAGTACGCAAAGTCCGGAAAGAACGATTTCCGTAGTTCATCCAGCGGCAGAAAGAAGAAGACACATCATTAGGTCGAGTTTAAGCTGTGGAAGTGATTGGCTTGGTGACAGTCGCATGGCAAGAAAGAAAGCAGGGAGGGGAAGACATAGATGATGGAGCATACAGACTGTTTGTTTACCAGGATTAGAGGCGTTATGGCGTTGAATGATTCTACTGCGTTAGGAGTTATCTATGGATTTGATTTAGAAAGGGAATTATTTGTTTTAAGAATTTAGAAGCTTTTTTTTGCGTACATCCTGAGCATCCATCCTGGGCTTGAGCTGGTTCTACACGACTGCATAATAGACAACCCAGTAATACCGCATATCTTATATATTATCTTTGCACCAACTCTTTGCAAGTATTGACGACTTATTCAACACCCCCCTAATTAGTTGCGTTCTTCATGTTTTGGCGAATGGTCTCTTATGTTTCCCCCCGACATTTGACTTGTGAATATACAGTACTGATAATTAGAGTCTTCGTGACATAACGCACGAGGTCTTGAAGGTTTCCAGGAAGGGCTATCTGCAGGGTCGTGTAGAATTGATTTGAAATTTTTTAGGGGCACGGATGTTAATATTACGCTATGTATGTGATTGGTGAGGTTGAATGACCGAGTTGGCTCTCCCCTTACCTCAATAAAGTACATGTCTATGTTCAAATACGTGACTCCTGTATTTTCAGGCCGGAGCCTGGACGACTCAAAGCTCTGGAAAGTGAAATTCTCTAGCTCGATTTATGACAGATGTCGAGCCATATAATTTCGTTCGTTCTGGCGTTGCGAGTTCTGCCTTCAAAAATGGCGCTTGCCTCAACAAATGGCAAAGAACATGACTGAATTCACTGTTCGACCTACTCCTTTGTTGTTTTCTTTCAGACCTTATCTTACAACCCATGTCTCCACAACAAAACAAGGTGATTGTATTGATCACAAACAAACATCAAAGGAGTCGAGGGAATTGTATTTGGGCAACTGCATATCTACAAGACAAGTTTTTGGACATCTGAGATTTCATCTTCAATTAAACTCAAAAATTGCTCATATCTTTACTTCTCGATCTGATTTTTGCCAGTCAATATGCCACTTCCACCACATATTCAAGCAATTCCACCATTTGGTCAAAGTGCTTCAACGACCAAAAGAAACGAAGAAGCTCTCAAACAATCCAGAATTGACAACTACGAACGCATGACACGGGTCGAACATCATCATCATCCAAAATTGATTCGGCGCGAAACATTCGAGGAATTTGAAAAACGTCGAGAGCGAGAAGAAGCTTCCTGCCGCAGAGGTCAAGCATTATGGGATGGTAGATCTTCCAAAGAAATTGAGCATGAGTATAAAGTTGAGAGAAATGCGCGGCTTAAGGAGTTTCGCAAGCATAAAGAGGAAATTTTGAAAAATATGAAAAGTTGCTCTCAAATTGTTTCAAAATTGGGAGCCAAAGGGAACTCTCAAGGCCCCTCGGGTGGTTCTTGAAATTCATCCATTAGCTGTAGCTTCCTATCATGCTGCTGTTGCTACATAGTTATCATACCAGTACAGACACTTGCCGAAATAAAACCACATTACAACCCACAATCACTCGCAGCTACCTGACTCCATTGTGCATCAATTCTCCCTAACTGTTCAGCCTGGTTTCCAGTCAACTCATTCATTGCCGCCAAAGCAATGTTGAATCCTTCCGCCGCGTGATCCACCGCCAGAACATTAATTGATCTTCCGTTGTAGCTCAATGAATAACAAGTTCCACACGATGCAGAGTTCCAGCCTGCGACTGTTGATGCACCCGCGATTCTTGGGAATGTAGGAAGAGAGTCTTGGGTTGAAAAGCCTTTTGTCACAAGACCGTTGGCTCCGTCGGAGCAGGATACTTCGTTGAGTGAACGGCCTGCGTTATCGTAACCGGTGTCTGTGAATAAGTTTAGTATACACTTGAGCTTGAAGGATTGGGTGGATGAAACGTACCATAGGAGACCGTGATAGCACTTGCAGTGGCTAGAAGTGAAGCGATTGAAGCGAGAACTGGAAATTGCATCTTGAGAGCTTTAATTGACTGATTTTAAACGGTACAGAAATGAGGCTTTGAAGATGGAATCGAAGGTGTTTGAATAAGTTCGATAAGTGATGAATAGTTGTGTGATTGCTCTAGTCAGTAGGATTACTACGGTATATATACCTCTTTCATCTAGTCTCAACCTATACTCAACATCTTATTCCGAAAATCTTCTCGTATTGATGGGCCTCATGATCTATTTTTGTTCACGGCAGTCGTCTGGTATACGAGATTTCCCCACAGTCTGTGAAACACCCGGCAAACTTAGTTTTCTAGTCAAGAGCTCCAAACAATGACGTCGCGGTCGAACTTGGCGAACAAATAAAAGGGTTCGTTTGGCTAAACAGTTCGTGATGCATTGACAGTGGAGATATTTGCTGTCCGGCAACGACGCGACGATGTGTTGATCATCGATAAAGTCAAGGTTCTCCTGGTACACGCCTAAAAATGGCCTGTGGGCAACCAATCATTAGCCGAAGTCACCTGAAGATCAGCTGCGCAGGGACCCTATGAGCCCCTTCCAGGTTGGTTATGGAGCCGAGTCCCCTTCGCGTAGTAACCTGTACCTTTCATACGATGTGTTCCGCTGCAAATTCAAAAGCCATCGCACACTATTGACCAACTGTTCTCCGAACGTATCATTTTAAATATGTAGCTGAATATTCTTTCTCTTGATTTATACCGATATGACAGTATGGAGAGTTTTCTTATCAATGGACGGTGATAGAAAAAGAACAAGCAGCGAGCGCAATCACTTGATATGTTTTATCTCGTTTGTCCCAACGAACTTTTTTGCTCTGTCCCAGCATGAAGATTTTTATCATGTTTTGAGACCTGCTTATTCTAGCTTTGTATTGAAGGTCAAACTTCTCTACCGAGCTTATGAGTACCTGCTGGAGTGATTACTCCCGTTATACTTGCTCGTCGGGCTTGTGCACTCTTATGGGACCAAATGCATCACGCACTTTGATTGGCCTTTGCACCAGAGAAGTATGGGACTATTTGAGAATTGGGTCCTCAGATTGGTGACATGTTTGTACCTTCAAAAAAGCTTTGTGAGACTGATTGCAGGCTATGTCATGTGATCTACCCCCCTCTTCTTCATATGGATAACTCAACTATTTCGGCAAGATTGTTCATCGAGTCTTTCTCCAAAACACTAAGGCAGGTATATCTTGATATCTATTTAAATCCTCTCCGCCAACCTTTCGCGTCTTCTGGTACTTTCAACCAATTATGAACGTTCATTATTAAGCGAAGCGGCGCTGATGGAGCATTTGACGTTGAAACAACAGCGCCGCAATCACCAAGAGTAATCTGATTGGATAACTCCACGATTTTAAGCTCAGCCTCTATGCTTAAATCACGAAAAGGATCGGGTCGCTTTGAGATGCTCTGCCATGTTGGTGTTTGAGAATCGCAAATGCGCCTTACTGTGGCCAGGTTTTCGGGCCTGCTGAACTAGTCTGCGGTCATTTTACGTTAAATGGACTTCATATAGTTGGAGAAGTCCATGATGAAAAGGAGGAAAGAAAAGGTACTGTTTGACACTGTTCATAGAGAATTTCCATTTTCTGTACTTAATGGTCAGCTCAAAAGACTTGATTTTATCTCGTCACGATGTTACAATTACCACCTCTCATCCTCACAACTATCTTTTCATTTCTCATATCACGCACACAAGCGCAGCTTGTCGGCTGCGAATCAACTAAATGTCCGAAATCAAACAGTTTAGACTTATGTCCAATTGGCAACTCGACACTTTCCTCAATAGGCACCCTTGAACTCAACACCGCTTTGAGTCGCCGCCCACTGACATGGACTGTTGGGTTCCAAGAAATTGCGCAATCCAAAGCCGAAAATACTGGGAAAGGTCTCTGTACTTCAAAGTCTCGCCGCTTGAGAACAAGAAACGAAAAGGAAAATTACAATTCGATCCGAAGTCGAGACTGTGAGGATCCAGAATCAGATTACCTTCAATACAGAAACTATTACCTCGGAACACCACCCAACACTACGGATGGTGGAATAGTGGGACAACTTGGCTGCGCACTATTCTTTGAGGGTATTTCTGGCGACCTCAGATTTCCTGGAAATAGTGCCTCAAGTGATTCAGGGACTTGCAATGACGCGCTTACGCGAAGTTGTGTCGCTGATTTTACGGAGCAAGTCAAGAGTAAAAGCGAGAAGTTGATTGCGAGTGGACAGACTCGGTGTGTGGATTTGCAGAATGCACTTCAAGACGAAGCGCCCGAATCATGTGTAGTTGCAAAAGGTGGGAAATGGGGGACTGTTTATGCTCGAGGTTTGTGTCTCTTTGCTATTTCGTAGAGAGTTCTTGCTAATATGGAGATGCAGAGCTTAATGCAGGACCATTCTTGAATGCGCAGTCAACTTGCAAACTGACGATGGGAGAGAACTATGGTATCACGCTTGTGCAGAGTACTTACAATAGTAGCAGTGTCAGAACAGTTTCTGGCCAGCCAGCAACTTTCCGAGATTCAATCACACCAATTCTTACTGTTCTTAATCCGCGAGACAATGGGTCCACGGTGGATATCAACGTACAATGTTTGAAGCCCGTGGGCACACCGATTGTGACTGATTCCGAAAAGAAAGAAAACTCGGGGACGATTGGAAGGGTGACTTGGGTATCTTTGGGAGGCTTGCTTGTGGTGCAAGTTGGATTCTGGATGCTGTAGCGGGAGTCTGGTGTTCATAAACATTTTTTTTTTAGCGATGTGGCCTTTTGATACCCTCTCTGCAGCTATCTTGTCAATTAAAGCTTGACTATTTTGTTATCTAACTCTATGCTGCATGAGTTAAATAGTTCCGCTTTTATGTCGTGATGTCATCATCACAAGTACTTAAGAGTACTCAAGCAACTCATCTTATCCGTAAAGACTATTCTGAGTGGTCTGATTCGCAATACGGGGTATGTATGCTACTGAGACATATTTCCATACGGTATGCCGGTGGAATGTAACCAGTATCGATTGTCCAATTGCAGATCCTGAGACTAACGAATTTTACTGGAATTCTGTAGGGCAGGAATGCAGCCACGTTTTTCGTCAGGATTTGGTGTGATACATAATAAACATCAGCCTCTCTGTTCTTCCCATCGAACACAACTATGATATCTTCTCCGTATCTCCGTTAGTTCAGAGATAACCTAACACAATCAAAACGCTTTACGGCAGGGGTGTTCGCGTCACAATGATGTTTTACAAGTACTTTTCATTGGCCTTCTGTCTGGCCTCTATACTAGTTCTCGTTGGCGCGAACACTCAAGCGCAAAAGAATATCCAAGAGGAGCTAGCATGTTCAGATCAGCCTTACAAAGTTCACATTTTATCGGCTCATACTCCCTTGATCATCTACATCGAGAATTTTGTCAGTTCATCCGAAATAGATGAACTTCTGCGTCAAGCGTATGTTAAAGAAATCAACGTTTGAAGGTCAGAAGTACTAATACCCTATCAGTGAGCCAACCTACAGCGCCGCAACCATATATACGCAGGATAAGAAGACTGGGAACAGCTCCCAAACGGTCAGCAGATCCTTTCGGGAGTCTCAAACTGCGTTCATGGAAGACACACCTCTGGTGGAATGTATCAAAAAACGAGCGGCCGCTTTTCAAGGTGTTCCAATTGAACGACTCGAGGGACTTCAAGTAGTCAGATATCCCCTTAACAGTTACTATAACACACATGTTGATTGGATCGGAGATCATTGTGTGGATACACTGTGTCAGAAATCAGGCGATCGGGAGACAAGTTTTTTTGTTTATTTGCAGGCAGATTGCAAGGGCGGTGCTACAGAATTTAGCAAGTTGACTCTCCCGAAAGGAGTTGATGAAAAGTTTTGGTGCCAATTCTTAGACTGTAATGATGAAGCCGGCGACGAGGGCAGCACTGAGAAGGATGCTGAAGGAAACGGAACTGGAGTTGCCAGTGAAGGTGGTAAAACTTTGAAGTTCAGACCAAAAAAAGGCAATGCTATCTTTTGGGAGAACCTTGACGGATTCGGAAACGGAATCTGGAAAGTCGCCCATGCTGGAATGCCGGTGATCGAAGGAGAGAAAATTGGACTCAACATCTGGACAAGAGAAAGAGCTCCTGGCGATTACCACGGGACCGTCCTGCAGAAAGCGGCAGAAGTTGTTGACGAATCGGAGGATTTATCATCGCAAATCATTGTTGATGAATGGGAGGAAGTCTTCTTTGAAGAAGTTGACAATTCTGAGGAGGTTGAGCCGCTAATCAACGATTATTCAAATTAGTGGTAGGAGAAGGCGCATAGGTATCTGCCACTAGGTATTTCGTCAGAATCCAAACCGAGAAAGATGCCCAGGTGCGATTCAATGTGTTACTCACTATAAACACTATAAACACTAGTCTATAGTTTGTTTTAGGAGCAAGATTACCGAAGAAGAATTGGCTATAATGAATTTGTCTCTTGATCTACTAGCCTTGTATTTTAATCTTGTCACTGCCAGCGCTGCTTCCTATTTACTTCCTTGTTCTTTTGGCTCGCACATTCAATCGCCATCCAGATTGCGAGACTTATCCACTGAGCTCAAACAATTCTCCAGTTGAATTGTGCAACGGCTAGTCGTCGCCCTCTGTTGAAGACGGTTAAATCTTTGCCTCATTGTCACTAAATCTCAGCAGTTAGATCGTGCGGGAAACAGGTACGAGAGGGAGCACGACGGGAGAATACCGGCCTTACACCAACGACTACGGTCTGCCGACTGCGCCAGGCATCGTGAAACACATGATCATCGAGCACTGCAGCTGCTAGGTAAGAAAAACGGCGTGAAGTTGATTATCTCTGGGATTGAAAAGCATGTCGAAAAATTTATGTCAATCTTTCAATGCAAAATCAGCCTTGGCAATTGGTGAGCCCGGAGTCACGGACTGAAATACCCCTGTCTGTCGTCCAGCCGCAGCGGTGACGACCCCCTTGTCTCGTCGTTTCTTCCACTACAAAGATGGGGAAGAATCTCGAGGTAAGCTTAATAATCGTAACTACTCTGAGCCCTAACTCCTAGGTTTCGTCGAATCTCCGCCTCATGATGTATTGTAGAAGTTACGTCTCGCCGGTTGCTGCGGTAAGAGCGATTTTTCAGACCCTAGAATCGATCGAACCCGAGTCCGCTGTCAATTACGCGAGTCTCCAGTCAGAAATATGGGAGGCTTTTGAACACTCTATCTTTGACGAATATCTTTCTCCGGATTATTTGACAGGTAAAGGAACGCCGTATTATTATACAAATCTCATTGTTAATAGCATTGTTTCTAGAATCCAAGAAACGGATGGTCGGGGCAATCCGAGAAGAATGGAAGAATAATCTGTCTATAGGCACTGCTGATAACCGTCAGCATCTTGTTTCTGGCAATAAAAAGGTCTTAGGAAGTGCTTTTGAAAGTAAGTTGCCAGGACGGTATCCTAAAGATCATAAAGTCAAGTTCTTATCGTACAGATGTGCTCTTCGCGAAAACAAATGGATCTCGCGTGGGAAGGGGATACAGATGGCAAGCGAAAAGTTGGAAGGACGAAGGTGTCGAGCCGCTAACAAAATCTGTTCCTCTGTTGCAAACTAAGCTTGCAGTAAGAGTGAAACATGCAGATGGTAACGCACAAGCACCATCTGCGTCTCTGTCCCAGTGCGAAGCATGTTTGGTTGACACGACTGTTGACCAGCCACTTTACC